TGGAAAACGGAAATGAAAAAGAAAACTTAAGCTTCACTTGACAGCCAACGGTTTCTCCCTTTCCAGAATGTCAGACGTACTTTAATCTACCTTAATATTGGTCTCATTTGTTCCCGGTCATGGAATGGATCCCATCCGATCTAACGGGTGCGTCCTGCATGGACCCATTCGTGGTCTTCCAATCCTTCAACAACCTGGCCACGTGCTTTAGTATCTTTGGTGTCCCCGAACACACGGACAGCACGGGGCCTACTTTGATAGCGAAAGAAGGCCACCGTCTGAACGTGAATAGCACTTTTGGAACTCTCGTCGGAGATTGTCTCAGGCAGTACTGCGAAGTGCCAGATCCAGAACTGGAAGGATGTGATTTAGAGGGTTACACTCCAAGCGATTATTATCGCATATTCACTCTCCCCAGACAGGAATTTGAGACCACAACCTGTAGGAGTGTCGATAATGATGTGAATCAAGATATCGGTGGTGTGGGGGTACATCTACCTGGAGCATACTGTCTAATGACTTTCCACAAGACTTGCTAACAGCTATTGTCCCGCGTAAATCACAGGTCTTGCTCTCATTCGCGATGCAGTCCGCCATCCTGCTATACGTCCATTTCGCTGTTCTCATACTGAGACTCATCCCCGCATTCACACGATGTATCCGTCGGTGTACGAAGGGGGCACGATCCAGGGCCAAGATCCAGTTTGGCCAGCACCATTTCTCGGTCGTCAAGTCCATGCTGGTGGAATTTCAAGAGGCACAATGCTTCTTCATGCTTTCCTTCCAATGCGCTGCTCTGATTGCTCTCGCGGCGGGCCCGCAGGTTTTCGAGGCAACCAGCTTGTTGCAGCTACAGTCGAACATTTCCATGGCCAAAGCTGTTGCATTCATGGGTATCCTTCCTATTACGTACGGCTTGTGGATACTCCATAGGATTGGCTTGCATTCATGGTATATCTCCGTGTGGTCCGCTATCACAATTGTAACGTCTAGCGTCACGCTGCATCTGTGCAAGGTAGTGCCTCGAGCGGACAATCTACAGGAGATCGCGACAGCAGATCGTCTCGACAAATGTGGCTTTTCCCCACCTCCTCTCATATACTGCGGCTCGGATTCTGAGATGGGGTCAAACTACAGCATTGTCAACAATTTGACCTTCGGACTGTCCGATAATTCCGCGAACTTCGTCTGCATTGCGATCTACGGACTCCTCCTTTTGAAACGCCTCGCCCCTTATCCCAAGCGATGGCTCGGCCAGATGCCCTGGTTTCAGGCAACCTACCACCGTGTCCACCCGTGGCTAAAATCCAGAGGAGTCAGGATCCTTTCCAGGACCTTGGATGTAATCATTGAAACCCTTCTCCTACTCGCCAACTTCTTCTATTCTTTCATGGTTATAGCACGAAGCCTTCCGACGATCTCACTTGACTCGTGGAGTTTCGGTCAAATCATCGCCGTGACTATCTGGTCTCCCATCATCAGCAAATATCTCTACTGGCTTTTGTGTGCGTATCTCTCTTTTCTCTCTACTCCCATACCTTTCTTTTACGATATGCTCATAACCAAAACAGTCGGCACGGACTCCTACTCCGCCATCCGATTCCCATCCCCTTACAAAATCATCCGAGTCAAAACAATCAACGAAGAAGACAATCCCGACGACGAAGATCGTCTTTTCATTCACCTCCCCTCCACAAGTGACCTGAACATCAACCCGAACTCGAAAAAGTTCATAGTCACCGACGTAGAATTGACCCCTGTCAACGACTCAAAGACATCATCAGTTAGTACGCGACATTCCCGATCTCATATCTAGGTATATCCACTTTTGTACTACTATCATAGAAACCATGCTCCGTTTTTTGGGGGTGTTCTGGGTGGATACATTGGCTGGTTGGGTTGGCGTCTAGGTTATGTGAACCATGTCTGTACTGTATATGCTTGTTAGATTCGGTGATGGATGTTTGATTAGTTAGAATAGATATGCAGGGGATATAGATACATAGGTATGTTAGCTGTATTGTATATTACCGATTCCATTCCAGTCCGATCTGCAGTTGCGTGATCTGTCTCAGCCTTATCGATCAATGAGGATGGTCATGTAGATCCTGTGTAAGCTTATTTTGAGTGCTGGGGCGCATGGGCCATTAGATTAATCCAATGTCAGTCCCACTTAAATGTCTAGGCGTGTTTTGGATATGCATTCAGAAATGAGGAGGAATGATGCCACCTAGATCGGATTATCCTACGGCTCGAGATGCAGCCATTAATTGAAGCTCTAGAACTGAACATATTACGTCTGAGATTCGGGTTGGACAACTAGGTCTTGTTCTGGCTCATTTGAGTAGTATAGCCAAAGTCGATCATAACTCAATTATAGATTGCTTAAATGTATGACGGGGTACCCCCGTGGATATGCGCATGATTAATATGAGAGACGGGAATAACACCTATTGTACAAGGGTGCATCAACCTGGAAACAGACTGATTGATCAATTTATCTTGTCCTCGAGACTAGGCAGTCAAGGTTTGATTAATATTGATTGCTGTTAAGTATATATACATACTAATATGAACAAGCGTGTGCTAAGCAGTGGCTGGGGCGCTATCGCTTGTCTGCACCGACACAATGTCTTCTGATGATAATGGTGGGTCTCCAGGGAGCCCTTGGGATGATTTTACCTCATCCATTGCAGAGTTCTCATTCGCACCTTCCAGGGCCTCTACGTGGGACTTGGTTTCGTCAAGAAAGCCGTTTTCACCGAGCCATACAATAGCTTCCATAACTTTTCGATCATCTTCGCCTTTTTGACGGTCGAGAAGCTGATTTTTTATGTTAGTCCAGTTCTTGATAGAATTTTGGAAGAAAAAACGAAAGAAAGACGCCTAACTTACTGCTTGTAAAAGGCCTTTGCGCCCCTTCTTCTCTACAGACTTCGCCTTAGCCCCACGATCCGGCGTCTCGTGCAGGAACTTGCACTTATCTCCACGCTGACAACGACCAGTTCGGGCAAAGTGTCGGCATAGCTTCTTCTTCGCTTCGCGTGGAGGCGGAGCCACCCGTTCAGGGCCCTCACGGCGAGAGGTTGTCTCCTCAGGGGCGGAATCACTGTCGCTGTCCTCCGAGTCTGAAGAGGAGAGGTCCGATCCACTAGATGACGTCCAGTCGCTGCTGTCGGAAATATCCGAAGACACAGCAGCATTTGCCTTGACATCTTCCATGCCATCCTCCCCGTTCGGTTTGGCTTCAATAGCGGATGCTGGCCCAACATCATTGTTGGGTTCGGCAACCTGGCCCGGAGTATGCCCTGAAGCGAGTAGCTCACCTTGAGTCTCTGAAGCTCCCGTCTCCTGATCAGGAGCAGTATCCGATTTATCTTCAGGGCCTGGCTGGGCTTGAGCGTCTTGTGTGGATGCAGAAGTAATGTCTTTGTTAACATCCGTCGATCCTCGTTGCAGTTCCTCGACTCTCATCCGAGCCCGCTCGGCATCTGCTTCCGCCTTTTCGACCTTTTTCTGCTCTTTCATGAGCTTCCGTCGTAGCTTATCGGCCTTCCGCTTCGCTTTCTCAGCTGCGTCTATTGGATCTGCAGGAGCTTGCTGATGGTCTTTCTGCGATTTCTTCGTCTCTTGCTTTCGCGATTCTTTTTGTCGCTGAGCTTCTTCCTTAGCTTTCTTCGCTTCCTCCATCGCCTTCTTTTTCTCCTCGATTTTCTCCTTAGTTGGGAACCGTTTCTTACGCTCCTCGATCCATGCTGCAATTTCAGCGGGGGATTGCAACGTGGTTGTGCGTCCTTTGAATGTAAACTGCACGGCTGCTGCTGCACCAGCACCACCCTGTGCTAGCCTCGATTCTTCGTCTACATCATCTTCTTCTTCGCTAGACTCGTGTTCCTCCGTCTTCGGTGTCAAACCAAGTTGATTGTGCTTTCGTTTCTTCTTCTTCGGTTTTCTCGTAGCGTCAGCCGGCGGAGGTGGCTTGGACGGTAAAGGATTGCCGAAGCTAGGAACTGGAGGAGGTGCAGGAACTCGAGGGGTAATGCTGGGTGGCTTTCCAAATGCTGAAGCATGATCGCGCTTCATATGTGGCATGGTACCACCCCCTCTGGAGGCCTGGTTGCCGTAAGCATTGTACGGGCGGGGGCCTCGCTGATTCCCGTGTGGAGTGCCAGTATACCCTCCTCCAGATCCGGCATTATTGTATCCCCAATGCATGGGCAGGCCCATCATTGACGGTTGCACAGATGGGGGGGCATTCTGGTGGCTTGGAGTAACGGAGTGATACGTCGGAGCCTGCTGAGCGGTAGATGGACCGTAAGCTGAGTAGCCAGGTTGATGCTGGTATGGAGGTCCATGTGTTGGTGTAGACTGTGGAAATGGTCGTGAAGAAGGGAAGGAAGTCGTACTTTGGGGAACTTGGTAATTGGCGGTCTGCGAAGGTGGGAATTGCGGTGTCGAAATACTTCGTTGAGGGTTGGCCATGGGCTGACCTGCATAGCCAGGATGATTCATCGGAGCGTAGCCCATATTTGAAGAATTCGCCGCATGGGGCATGTATGACCCTCCCCGACCTCCTCGATTTCCATATCCCCTACCCCGGCCTCTATGATGGCCACCACGTCCACCTCGCTGGCCATGATGGCCTGGACCGTACTGTGAGGGGAAAGTCGCAGGTTGGTTTTGGTTATACTGCGACTGCTGAGTGGGAGGAGGAGGGGGCGGAGGGGGAAAAGAGAAGCCCTGGGAGTTCATCGTGAGAGGACCTCAGTAGACCTCCAAAGAGAATTAGCATCAACGCCATCCTCACAGCATCCTAGACATCTGGAAAAAGTGCCGAGCTCATCAGATCAAACAACTGATGCGCTGTTGTTCCGTTCCGAGCACAAAAGGGGAAAGCGCGGTAATCACGTGTGTCATGATCTGGTCGGGTAAAAAATATCAAAAGTGATCCGCCGTCTGCGATTGGCCGGAATCGATTTGTGGTTTTTCAAAGGACTATTTTTATTATAAGAAGTTCTCTGCCATTATAAATATGGAAGCATGAGTTATGATGCCTGCGTGACGGAATATTGATGCTTGATCTGATAATGGAACTTACTCTTCGTGCTCTATCTTTCCGCCGTGGGACCAAATCGTATTGAAATAGAAGATTTTTTTTATCTACCGCCGAGTACCTACTAATTGAATTCACCATGTTCATTCTTGTCAGTCGCATAGGACCTTGCTCTTACTTTACAATAAAGTCACTTCACTACCAAGGCAAAAGCTAACTAGTCCATACAGACTACCCTCTCCGATCTGATCCAGATCTCCCCAGAAGACTTCTCGAAGTATAGTTCTATCGCTATTGAGGACAACATCAATGAGAAGTATGCAAATAAAGTACGCACGGCTTCCTATCTGAAATGCCATGTTCGCTTGCGCAGCATGCACTAACAGTAATTGTGTAAAGGTTATTCAGAAAGTTGGCCTATGCATTGGATTCTACGACTTGTTAGAGTCCTCCGACGGTCTTATCGGCCATGGCACTGGTTTAGTCAACGTGAACGGTACATCCAGAATGCTGAATCCCTTTCAAGGGGGTCTATGCACTGATTGAAAGACAGTCAAGTTCCGCCTCATTGTGTTCCGTCCGTTCAAAGGAGAAATTATGTTGGGCAAGATCTCCAGCGCTACTGAACATGGTATAAAGAGTACGGCAATTTTAAATTGACCCTTATGGTACTAGCACTGACCGACCATAGTTGGAGTAGAATTTTTCAACGATATCCTCGTACCTCCAAATCTTCTCTTGGACGGTGCCAGATTGTGAGCTGCCTTGATATGTCCAGTATTCTTAGTCATCTATGCTAACATGCTACAGTGACTATGCCGATCAAGTTTGGATCTGGGAAAACGAGGACGGCTCCACATTCTACTTTGATATCGGAGAAGTTGTCCGATTCCGCGTTGAGATAGAGGAGTGGCATGACCAAATACCAAACGCCCCAGATCTAGGAGATGCCGCCGCTATCGAACGGAAGCCACCATATTCCATCATAGTATGAATTCTCTCTCCCGTGTCCCTTGACCTGATTACTAACGATACCCTAGGGCTCAATGCAAATGGCTGGTCTGGGACCTGTATCGTGGTGGTAATGTTCCGGATGGGTCATGTGCATGCTTCTTTGACGTGAATAAGCAAGAATAACTTCTTGGCTCCCTTACTTCCCGTGCTTATGTGATGAGATACCTTGCTGATGGAATGGTTGAACTATGTATATTTCCATGGTTACACGAATAACGAAATAATCTTAACATAGAGATTTCAGTGATTGCTCACAAATCAGCCAAATGACGACATTTGGCCGGAAATGGGAGAGTTTTGAGGCAACATCGAGCAAATTCTTGAGTATGGAAGAATAAAAGATCTGACCATGTAGGATGATTTCCCCGCCAAATAGATCGTCATAATCAATTAAACCTTGTAGCTAATTGTATGCAGACTACATACTCCGTACTCCGGAGTACATTAAGGCAACGATCATTATCAATCGAATTCGGCTAGTGGCGGAGATAAAGAAAATTGCATTGACACCGCCACGGGAGGGGACAATCAACGGTTCACGGTGGAGTTGCACTCGGCGCTATGCCGGAAATCCTCACGGGGCCCGATCAGTCCCTGCCCTATCGTTCTTCAGCATGCTTGATGTGCAACGTAAAAAAAACCCATGTCCAAGCAACAGAAATTTTTTTCCCTCGGGTTTCAGGAGGGAAGGGGGGTAAACTTGGTTCTAGAGTCATCGTTAATAAATCCTAATTAATTTTTAAAACCGGCTTCACCGATCTTACTCAGTTTGCCCTCGTATCAATTATAAATCAGTGCTTTGTCACTACGACGGTACAAAGACCGCATTACTATTTATTAGATCTTCCTTCTCGCAGCTTGTGACCTCATAGGTGTTTCTATCAGGCTTCCAGAAGAAGAAGAAGAAAAAACAAGAGTGAAGAACTTATCTCCCCGTCTTCCTTTACGAGTCGACTTGTCAGATTCTTTTTGAGCTTGAATCCTTTTTTTTTTTTTTTTGCAATTTCATATAAAGATACACCACGCGACCACGTTCGCAGTCCCGTGACAATGACCAACTCTACCAACGGAGCCCCTGCTCAGGACAAGCGTTTCGGCACTTTGGCTGTCCATTCCGGCGCTCACCATGATCCTACGACCGGCGCTGTTATTGCTCCTGTAGGTCTCACATTTTGCATGAATTACGCGATTGAATTGTTTCGGTGATGCTGACCGGTTGTGTAGATCTCCCTCTCCACCACTTTCGCTCAGACCAGTGTGGGTAGCCCTGTAGGTCTCTACGAGTACACACGTAGCTCCAACCCCAACCGGTGAGTACCCGACTCAGAATGAATCTTGGTTTATGATTGATCTCCATGCTAACTACCGACCAGTGATAACTTTGAAGAAGCCATTGCAGCTCTTGAGCACGCTAAATATGCCCTCGCATTCTCCTCTGGTTCCGCAACCACCGCGGTAATCCTTCAATCCCTCGCGGCCGGCTCGCACGTCGTCTCGGTATCCGACGTCTATGGTGGAACTCACAGGTACTTCACAAAGGTTGCCAACGCCCATGGCGTGGATGTGACGTTCACCCCCACCATCGAGTCGGATGTGGAGAAGTTGATCCGTCCGGAGACCAAGCTCGTATGGATTGAAACCCCGTCAAACCCGACTTTGGGATTGGTCGATATTGAGAAGGTTGCTGCCATTGCGCATCGTCATGGGATCGTTGTAGTGGTTGACAACACATTCATGAGCCCCTACGTCCAGAACCCTCTGGATCACGGTGCCGACATCGTCGTGCACTCCGTTACTAAGTATATCAACGGCCATTCGGTATGTTTCTAGCCCTTTTGCTTTCAACGTAGGATTGTTTTTCTTGGGTGGCCTATTAGCTAACCGTGAGACAGGATGTTCTGATGGGTGTCGCCGCATTCAACTCCGATAGCTTGAAAGAGCGCCTTGGGTTCCTTCAGAACGCCATTGGTGCTGTTCCTTCTCCCTTCGACTGCTGGCTCGCTCACCGTGGTCTTAAGACTCTTCACTTGCGTGCCCGCGAGGCCACCACTAACGCCACGACTATCGCCAAGGCCCTGGAGGCTTCCCCTCATGTTATCTCCGTCAACTACCCCGGCATCGATTCTCACCCCCAGCGTGCGATTGCTGTCAAGCAGCACCGCCAGGGCATGGGCGGTGGTATGCTCAGCTTCCGCATCCAGGGTGGCGAGAAGGCTGCTCACCTTTTCTGCAAGTACACCAAGGTCTTCACCTTGGCCGAGAGTTTGGGTGGTGTAGAGAGTCTTTGCGAGGTTCCCGCTAGCATGACTCACGCCGGTATTCCTAAGGACCAGCGTGAGGCTGCTGGTGTCTTCGATGACCTGGTCCGCATGAGCTGTGGTATTGAGGATGCGGAGGATCTCCTGGCCGACGTTCTCCAGGCTCTTAAGAAGGCTGTCGCGTCCAGCGAACAAAACGGCTCCGCTTAATTAAGTTAATATAATAGAGAATTAGAACCTTTCATAGATCAAGTTAATGATGACACGGATTACTCTTCAGACGAACTTGCTTTCCGTAAGGCAATTTAGCTCCCTTTTCTGATCCTTCTCAGAAGACCGCTATCTCATAGACTATGTAAATGCACCAATTGGTCCATGTAATACAAAAGATCCATTAAACGTGCAAAAACATGGTCAAATAAACGACTTGTGCCACAGCATCACCAACACATGCTTAGTCATCCAAGGCAATACCGCAAAAAATTTAGAGCAAATTTGAAGGCTGATGAAGAAGCTTCCAGGACTATGGCTGCTAAACATTCAAATTTGGAGTGAAAGTCCCTAGAATATACGTGTGGATCATACTGTGGCTCCCGGAAATTCTTGTGTCCCCCAATTCTAGCTTGCACCCTGAATCTTTATCAAACTATAAACCGCTTCGACATTATCTACACGTGCCCCGCGTCTGTATTCTATATCGGCATATCACCCAATAGCTTTTGGTGACTTCTCAGCGGGATCTGGCCGTGATAATCAACGTGGTCTTCTATAATGGCGTCTGCATTCAGCTTCGGCTTCGCTGGGGATGATATTGACATGGACGACTCGGAGCTGAACACTGTTGATGAGGGGCATACATCTGTTGTGCAAGATAGTAGCAGCACACTCCCTGAACTAGTTGAGGCCCAGAGACATGAACTAAGTGACTTGGTAGGTTCATCTTAACGCTGATGTGCCCTAATTGCCATTGAAGTTTAGCTCCTTCTCTAGGTGCCACGAAGCTTTCTAGCTCTTGCCCGTTTACAGATGGGAGAAAAATACAATTTGTTATATAATGCTTTGGGTTGGGCAAAAGACTGACCATGTTGTAGCTCTCAAGTCTCCCGTCTCAGGTTTCATTCAATAAGCTCAACATAAACACACCTCAGAATGATCAAACCTCCGAAACAACACTCACACTCGCTCGTCGCGAAGTGTTTGATATCAGGACGCAATTGATGGCAGAAGATACTGCCGATTATGCGAACGAAGAGCTGATCTCCGGACTCGAGAAAGGAGATATCACGCCCAACATCTACGAAGGCGGTTTCAAGACGTGGGAATGCTCAGTAGATCTCGCGAAGTTGGTTGCTAATGAAAACATACTATCTAACGCTGGTGCGGGGGATCGACATATCATCGAGGTTGGTGTTACATCTTGCGTTTAATCTTAGCCCCATCTATTAGACCGGTTACTGATAAAGAATCTCTAGCTTGGAGCCGGAACGGCAGTGCCATCGCTTGCTCTATTCGCGCAATTGCTGTCCAACCCCACGGGGTCGTCACAAACTACTCGTTTCACGTTTGCAGACTACAACTCTGTTGTTCTTCGGCTGGTGACTTTGCCTAACCTACTTCTGACTTGGAATTATATTGTTACGCGTCAGAAGTCGGTGTCAGTTGCTGGGGCAGAAGATCACGTTGAAGAGCTAGAGTTGGATATCACCCCGGAACTTCTTGAGTCTTTCCAGAAGGATCTTGCGGAACGGAGAATATCCGTCGAATTCATCTCTGGTGCCTGGTCTTCCGCTTTCGTTGACCTGGTGTTCTCGTCGGGTGATAAAGCCAAGAATGGAACGTTGATTCTTGCTAGTGAAACGATATACTCCCCAGCGTCTTTGAGGGCGTTTTCAGAAACATTGCTAGCTTTGATCCGTCGTCCTGTCCGGGCAGGTGGGAGAAGTAGAGCTTTGTTGGCTGCGAAGAAAGTCTATTTTGGAGTCGGTGGTGGTGTGGACGAATTTCTGGATGTGTTTAATACTGTCGGTGGTGATGAACTGGACGTGAAGGAGCGGTTGGATGTTAAGTCAGAAGGGGTGGGTAGAATAGTACTGGAGATTGTGCCCAAAGGTCTCCAATAGTGGTAGATAGAAAGATATCGCATTGAAAGGTCAACCTTGTCCGGGAATATTGTGAATTATGGGCTTTTCTTTCCCCCGGTAGAGTCAGAAATACAAGACGATCAGCAACTGAAACTGTCAACGAAACCTTGAACTGTCCTGTTATATGTACATTATGTTTGACCCTGTCATGCCTACTACCGGCGTCTTGGAACGTGAAAACGAAATCAATTTTGTCTAATCATAGATAGAGACAACCTTGCCATCTTGCATACGGGCAACACGGGCCTCTTCCAGCTCCCTGTTTTGGCGCTCATAGTGTGCGGTAACATGGCTCATATCCATAGCCGAGCCAGCAGGAACGTTGAAAGGAGGGGCGGAATTGAAGCTGACCCTGGAGAGAGGAAGAAACAAGTTATGTTAGCTTGCGGTCTGCAAGAGTAGGTGCGGTTATATGAGACATACTCGGGCTGCTTCAATTCGAAAACGGCTCTAGGGCCCTGACTCTGGAACAAGTGGCGGTCATGGGCAGCCTTCTCCATTACGACAGTGCGAATGGCATTTCTCTCTTCAAAAACCTTCTCCGAAGGGGTCCACTTTTGGATGAGGCTGGAAATCCACGATTGCGATCCAGACTCCTCGGTGGACTTACTCAGTCGGTAAAGGACGTAGGCAGAGGCGAAGGAGCCGACGGTGACGTAGAAGCTACGCTGTACGGGTCACAAAGATCCAGGTTAGTCACAGCTACCAATTGACGGGTAGCAGGCTACTGCCACCAGTGAAGATATCGAATTGTAGAGGGGGTCCAAGAAACGTACACCGAAGCTCTCGTTCGCGGGCTCAGCATGGTGGTGAGCCGCGTGCGAGTCGAATCGCCGCTGGGGTTGATTGCGCAGCAGTAGCCGCGCGGAAGTGGCCGATCGCCTAGCGAAAAACATAGTGTGGAGGAAGACAATTGGCAGGGCCAAACGAATATGATGCCGTCCATTTGGAGGAAGAACGCAAGCTGGTGAGCGGTTCGAGGCGGATATCACGTGATAATTACTAGATGCGGTTTAGGGTCCTCACGGGACTTGGCACCCGGACACTGGTCACCTGCCAATGAGAAGCATGATTATTTTCCTTTCTCTAGTCTACATCCCTCTTAGTCGGTGACAACGAATATGCCGCTCAAACAGCCCAAAACGCTGCGGACTCCGAACAGAATGTGAGTCTCGCCACGCTCGGGTACTTTACAGGGAATCCCGGAGCATGGAACGAAATCTATTCGAAACCAGCGTTGGGGAGAAAAGGTCTTAGTGGCATGGGTCTACACTACTATGTTGCCTCCTGCAACAAGTCGGCGGGTCGCTGCGTTGTCTCGACAGTAATGGTGGTTTTTCTTTACACCGCATTTGGAGGTGGTGCTGATGCACGACTAACTGCCTCATTCTGAGATGGCGCTCCCCACTGTTCCCCAGTCGCATGGTGTCAATTGGGCTGCGGTCCCTCCCAAATTATGCAGGCGTCTGAACGTTTGGTTATCAGAGGCGACATGTCATCGATCTGATTTTAGCGCTTTCGACCCACTCGTTACCTGCCTCCTCGACCGACTTTGACTGAATCCTCTGTCCTGTCATAGATGATAGTATTATGACTGTATGCAATACTTTTTTTTCCTTGTCGTTTTTTTTTTCTCCCTCATCTGCACGCTATGATTCATCCTGCCACCCAGAAAAAACCAGTGCTATTGATGCCCAATGCTTACTCATTGGGTGATACTCTCTCCTCAACTTGAAATGATCGGTCCACTTCTGTCCCCGTTTCGCGCGAGAAATGTATGCTCTTGCCTTTCCGGCCCTGGTGATCCATATTGAATGGGTATCAATTACTGTTTCAAGGTTCGGTCCGTTTGTTCGCCTTGCCAGCCCCCTTGAGGCTGGATGCAAATGCGTCCAGTGTGCAGAGAGTTTCTTTTTTTGGGCGTGTTTTAGGATAGATTCTTAGCTGCGTAATTTTTACTGCCTCGCCTAATGTTTTAATTAATTCCGATTCCTAAGAAATCCAAAATATTTATTTGACGAGTTGAGATCTGTCTGTCCTGTCTTGCCAGAATTGTCTGCTTGCATTCAACGCAGGTCTTTACCATCGGGCGTCTTGACTTCGTGGATTGCAACCATTTGCGCCCACTTCCAGGCTTCCCTGCTCTAGGGCGAATTTTCTTCCTCGCATTACTTTTTTCGTCCTGACATTCTTCCCTGTATCTGTCGTGTGATCGTTTGACCTTCGGACCTCCCCCCCGTGCAAGTTGTCATTTTTTTCTCCATATCAGATCGGAATATATCTTTGGCGCCGGTGAGCGCGTTTCCATGTATTGCTTCACACCCCAACCACCACCCAATTGCGTTTTTGCTAACAGGTTTTTTAGCCTACTGGTAACACGTCTTTTTCCTTTTATTGAACTTGGGCACGCATTATTTTTACGACCATGGCCAAAAAGAAGTCTGGTAACAAAAAAAGTAATAAGAAGCCAAAGGCCCAAGAGGAGCCAGACAATCAAACACCTCCACCTGCTACGCCTGATGTTACTATTCCTGAACCACAATCAGAGGAACAACAACAGCAGGAACAACAGCCTCAGGAGCCACAGCTAGCTGAATCACAGCTGCAAGAACAACAACTACAACAACAACAACAAGCCGAACAACCATCTGATCAAGCAGTGGGGCAAACAACTGACCAACAACCTGATCAACCCACAGAACAGACCTCAGAGCAACAGCCTGAGCAACCAATAGACCAACCCTCTGAGCAAACAACAGACCAACCATTAGACCAACCCCAAGATCAGCCCCAAGACCAACAGGCAGATCAACCCCTAGACCAACCCCCAGCAGAGCAAGCAGATCAACAGCTCCCAGACCAGCAAGCGGAGCCACTGCAAGAGCAACCACTTGAGCAAGAGCTACAAGACCAACCGCCTCTTGACCAAAAGTTGCAAGAGGAACCACTCCTGGAACAACAGCTGCAAGAGGAGCCACTCCTGGAACAACAGTTGCAAGAAGAACCACCACTTGACCAAGAGCTGCAAGAGGAGCCACTCCTGGAACAACAGCTGCAAGAGGAACCACCACTTGACCAACAGCCGCAAGATCAACAATCTGATCTACAGTTACAAGAGGAACAGCCAGAGCAACAGCTGCAACTACAACCAGAAGAAGCAATCGAAGCCGAGCCCCAACAATCAGAGGCTCCAGTAGAAGCCCCAGTGGAGCCCGAGTCACTGTCAGCACCTGAAGTTGCACCTGAAGTCGCATCGGAAGTCGTACTAGAAGTTGCCGCAGAGCCAATCCCTGAGACGGAGCTGGCACCAGCGCAAGAAGTGGAGCAGGAACAACTACAGCCCACTGCTGATGAAGTTTCAACAGCCCTTGAACCTGAGCAACAACCTCAACCACCGACTAATCCTGAAGAGGATGGTTCTGCCCAAGTGAATGCCCCCGACCTCTCCTCAAGTCAGCAGCTAGACGCGAGTGATGTCCAGCGGGACCCCGAAGTGCCTCAAGATCTGCACCAAGAGGAACTAGAAGTACCGGAACATCCAGTTGAGGAGGCCGCTGAAACGACTCCGGAGAATATCGACGTATCGAAGGAGCAAGTTGTCGAACCACCAGAGCCGACCCCAGTGACAGCACCACAGACCCCATTGTTCTCGACGGACCCAACCACGGCTTCCGTAGAGACTCCATTCGCTACAGAGACTCAAATCGCCGAGTCTGCATCTCCCACAAAGACCGACGCACCAGAGATTGAGTCACACGCAGCCCCCGTATCTGACCCCTCCTCTGAGGCAGTTGAGGCAGCACCTACTTCCCCCGCCCGCCAAACTACCCCACCTGTGTCCAAGCCGGCTTCTCCTGTGCCAAAGCACGCCTGTCCCACACCTAGGGCTGTTTCGCCTGTGCCTAGGGACGCTGCACCTACACCCAAGGCCGCTTCTCCAGCTCCTAAGCCTGCTTCACCTGTACCTCAGGCTGCCCCACCTATGGCTGAAACTGTTTTGTCGATGCAGGAAGCCGAGCTTCCTGCGGAAGTCATCCCACCCGCACCAACACCCCCACCGGTCGCTTCTGTATATCAAGAACCTCCGGCCATGCTACAGAATCCTCCACCAGCCCAGAAGATGGCCTCTCCTGTATCAAAGGCAGCATCGCCATTCCAGAAGGTCGCTTCCCCTGTCCAGAAATCCGCATCGCCAAAAGTTACCAGCCCCCTCGCCCGCCACGCTTATATGTCACCGATGATATCCCCGCACGCTACGCCACACGCTACGCCGCCAGTACAGCCGGCAATGGCTCCTATGCCCCCTATGCCTCCTCCGAGTACTGCTCCCAGCGTAGCTAGCTATGCTACAGCTTATTCCCCCGTCATGACCGCTGCTGGGTTTATGCCCCAGTATGCCTTCTACCCCCCGGGCATGCAACCCACCCCCCGGGGCTCTATGGAGCCCAGCACCGCGACAGCCTTCCAGCATTTGCGCGATCTGACTTATGCCAACGGGAATGGATTCTTCGCCCCTCAGAACGGACATCACAATGGGCATAACGGTCACCACAAGGGAATGATGTCGCCTCCTGAGCACCCTGTTGAAGAACCAATTGAACTTCTGCAGAGAATTCAAGATGCCATCCCAGACATCAACCGCTTGTTGAGCAGTTACAGGAATACGAAGAGCAAGCTGCAAGCCCGCGAAGCTGAGTTTCAACAAATGAAGACCCAGCATGAGCAGGATTTGATGCACAAGGACTTCTACATTGAAGCTCTTCAGACGCAAATGAGGAAAACTGCCAATGAGGCGGCGGAAGAGTCCACCAAACTCAAAAACACGATCAACGAGCTCCGCATGGAACTTGGAAATCTTGACGAGAAGCGGAAGGACCTCGAGGAGAAGCTGGAGGACTCCGAGAAGTCGAACGAGGAGCTGACACAGAACAAACATGACCTCGAAGAGGAAGTCAGGACACTTAACACCAACATGAAAGATGCCCAAGAGGCTCATGAGAAGGAATGTGAGAGGCGCGAACAAGAGAAGGTGGACGCTCTTGAGACTCAGAAACGGGAAATGACCGAATCCTTCGAAGAGATCAAGGCCGAAGATGAAAAAGCAGCAGCGGAAGCTTTGGCTGCTCGCGAGAAAGAGTTGCTTGACCAGCAAGAAGCAATGAAGAATGATTATGAAGATCAGAAGCGACAGATGCAAGAAGCACACGACACATTGCAGTCGAACTTCGATGACAAGGTGAACGAATTAGAGTCCACCAAGACCGATCTCGAGAACAAGCACAAGGAACTCGAGGAGACTCGTGTGCAACATGCCAATGAAATTGAACTCCTCAACAACACCCATGCGGACCATGTGGCCGACATGGAGAGGCGCTGGGCCGATGAGAGGGGCGAATTGGAGCAGCGCATCACGGACAAGTGCGATGAACTCTCCCACTGTGAGCGCGAAAAGCAGAAGGTGGAAGAGGATAATGTTGTCAAGGAGCAACAACTACAGGCAGCATCTGACGGCATGCGCCTCACCATTGATAATTTGGGCAAAGACTGCGATAGGTTGAGAAAGACCCTTCACAGCCTTGGAGAAGCCACTGACCTCAAGAGCACGAAGGGTGATCCATTCTTGTAAGTGTGACCTAGTGCATTGAGAATGTGTTTTAGTACTTGACTGTCTTTCAAAAATTTCCTTTTGTCATCTTAATCTTCCAGACTGTCTTCTGTGATACTCTTTTTTTTACCGTTCTGGCCAGAATTGTGCCACGTTCATTTGTTTTCTTTTGTCCTTTTCGATTTTCCCTATAGAATTATGATCACGATGGTGACGAAGATTATGAGATGTCAATAATGCTATCAATTGTACCTGCTCTGATAAGAATTCTATAATCTAGTTTGGACTGCTTCGGCCAGCTTTCTCGTCTTATTGTTTCCTTGTCTAAGGAGCACTTTGCGTACCTTCCAATCGATCCTCCCAAGGATGTACTGTCCAAGATACCTCAGGAGCTACCATCCTTCCTTGATAATACCCCGGCATCGCGTGAACTGCGCTCCGCATACGTTCAACATATCATCTCGAAGACTTTGACTTACCGAATCTTCCATCCGTTCCTTTTCACCTTGGGCAAGAGGTACGGTAAAGCGGACACCTTCTTCCAGATGCTCTCGATGGACATTCGACGCAAGTCTGTGAGACGTGAAGCCTTCTGGAGGCAGCAGACGCTGAAAGCTGCGTACACGACTTCCGATGCCAAGCAGTCGATCAACGTTGTGGCCGCTGTGATCGTCGACGAGATCATCGACCACCTCAAGCACTTCGCCGACCCCAAACACATGGACACCCTTCATACAAGCGTACGGAAGATTGTCAAGTTGGCCGCCGAGACGTGGAGACTTGCTCGTGTCGAAAGGGAACTGATAATGGCCTCTTTCCCAGCGCCCGACTCGGAGGGCACCTCGAATGAGATCTGGGAGGAATATGGAACCCCGAAAGAAGGCTGTGTCGGCTCCAAGGAGGATCCTACTCGTCACGTCATTCTGCGGACTTTCCCTCGCATCATTCGGGAGGCAGCGCATGAAGATTTCGCAGAAGACGAGGAGAAAGCCCTCTCCTGTACTTATACTCAAGGCAGTGTTTTATACTCCGACTCCCCTGTGGTTATGGCTCGACGCCAAGAGCTGGCAAGGCGATCCACGGACTCCCTAGTGGGTGGAGAAGAAAGGCCTCGAAGCGAGTCGAGAGGCTCTACACGTTCCGACGGAAAGCCCAGCTCACCCAGGCGAGGTAAAGAAAGCTTCGATACCCTGTAGAGTGAGTAGGGTACATTGGAAGGCGTGAGAGCTGCTGGGGGTATCAAGGCTAAGCATCATAGACCGGTCAGCTGTTAGCTGTACATGAAAACCTTGAGTTACATTTCTGGGAAAGGATTGTATTGATTATGATCTGAGCGCGGTGTTTTTGGTTTGTTCACTTGTTTGCGACAATATACTTCTGTTCCATTATAGGGCAGCTAAGCTCGAGAACAGAAGCACCCTTGCCATTCTTCTAAATTTCTCTTTGTTTGCCCTCTTTCTGTTTCACGCTGTTACCTTTCTTTTCTATCTATTCGTATAGCATTTGGTGGGAGTTTGAGCGTGTCGTTTTCTTCATTTCTTTAGTATTGTACTCCTTTCCTTCTGCCTTTCTTTCATTCTCTTTTACTTTTACGCCTTCTTTTCACTTACGCTCTGCATGGTGCAGTGTTACGGTTTTTCATGGTGTGTATTATTTGTTATGATGTATGCTCATCGGGATGATGACACATTTCTAATGTATGTGATGTCAGTTGACGAAAATGATCTGCAGTCCCTTCCTTCACTTCCGATTACCTTTGTATCTATTTTTAATCGAGACTATAGTATATTGCCGTGATGCCGAGGGTCAGCGATATCGGACTGACTGTGCATTTAGTTCCCTACCGTCCGGCGTCGAGATCGCCCTAACCGCTATGGACTACAATCAGAGGGGGAGGAAGGGGGGATGGTGAAGAGAGAGAGCACAGCCACGCATGACTAGGCCAGGAGGGAGAGCAGAAAATATCCGACTTAGTTTTTAAAGCTTGTTCCGACCTCCCAAGTCGCATTCTCGCGCGCAGCAGTCTGGGCTGGACCGAAACATCGTGCACAGCCTCAGGCAGGTCTGACTAACCCAAACCAATACGATGCGCCGAGCATAATTGGTCTATATGGATCGAGGATCGATGATCGATGTACTGAGTACCCTTCAGACTCAGGGCTACTCTGGTTAAGATGCTTCTAATAGGCATCTGGCATCCAGGTAAGTCAATCGTGGCGCAGTCGTTTCGCAACCAGAAATGCCTGCAACAACAATCATCACTCTATTCAGGTTGACCTTACAGAGGGCCGTTCACTGAACAAGGGTTCTTCAATCGGTGTCCGGTTCCTGTCCGCCCGTGTTGTGGGGGAGAAACAGAGCAACATGAGTGGAGATTTAGCATTTTTTTTAGTGGACCAAAAAGATACTTTTGGAACCATAACTGACCGGTCTGTGGTTCATGATATCCAACACATTTAAAAGAACTAACTGATTATTTTTTTTAATTTTTACTTTTTTTTTTTATTACCCTTCTCTCCTTTCATAGAGAAGGGTAAATTGATTGTGAGATGCAAACGCATCAGACATAGATGTAAATGGGTAGGAGTACATACATCGGGTCCGCCCCGATGAAGATTCCCTTTTTTATTCCCTTCTTCCTTCGTATCTTGATTGCGGAATGACCTTTCTCAAGGATCAGCATCCTACGGGTACTGAATATAGAACACTAAACGGGGCCGGGGGCTTGACCCTCTCTTTTCCTCGCATCGGGCCACAGCACCAAGATTTCATGCTCATTTTAATTACTGATGATCCATTGCTAGTGGTGGCATCCTGTTTGTTGATTCGTGGTGAAAACCGAATGGTTCCGTTCGTCATTCATTTATTTTTCTTTTTTTTTCCTTTTCTTCCCCTCTCTCTCTTTCATTTATTTTTTTTTAAAAAAAAAAGAAAAGCTACGGTAAAAAGGAAAAGAAAAGCCGTGCAGATAAGGATAATCCTCCCTCTTCCTGAATGGACGTAATCCGCCTAATGAGAACCCCACTTCCTTCTCACTGGCCAGCCACGCGCCCACACTTTCTTAACACCGGCGCCTGTTGAACATGCAGTAAATGACTCCATCCTGTAAAATTAATTTCTTGAGAAATGAAATGGCTTGAGATGCATGTCTCCGTCTCTCTCTTCTTAAGCAGACGAAAAAAATGTGATCTTTCCTGTTCTAATAGCAAAATAAGTTATTATATGGAGATCAATTCTGCTTGTTATGTTTTATTTGAATGAGCCTCATTAAACAAAACAGCCTTGCAATCACGTTACAATCTCTCAAGAGGCTCTTCGATAAAAGAACACATGACGTGCCCTCTTCTCTCTTCTTACTGTTTGTTTCCTTGTTCATTTGTGGCTCAGTCCTCATCTCAGCCGCAAAGCATCTTTTCCCAATTCTTCTTCTTCCTCTTCCTCTTCCTCTTCCTCTTCGTTCCTCCATCCTTTTCTTCTTCGGATTAATTCTTGCGCAATACCACGGGGAATTTCCCACTCTATTTCTCCTTGATTTGGCTCGTGCTTACCCCTCCTTCTGTGTCGTATCTGTATAGGTAGCCAAGACTTTTACCATTATCCTCAACCAACCTTTGCGTCAATCTGCCCTACAAGGCGCCGTTACGCTTAAAACCTCCCCCCCCCCCCTCACCCCCCCTTTTTTCCCTTAATTTCTGCTCCCCACTGCCATTAGCTCATCCCAAACTTTGAATCCACGGTCATTTCTGTTCCTCCCGTCGATATTATTCTCAACCTCATTCATTTTCACCTTTCCCCCTCGCCCGTTGCTGAAAGTCAGTCTACGTCATTGGTTGAAAACAAGCTGAATTGCGATCAAGAACGCCCGCAGAATGATTCCTGCGGTGGTCTAATCTAAAGTGGCTGCTGTTTACGGATTCTATTTCTGTTACTTCTATATTCTCAATATATCTTATTGGCTTACCTGCTTTATGATTGCATAAACCGCCGCTTTGCTCATCGATGGCTTTCTAGACATGCGTCCTCAACTCTGCTTTCCATCTCAGTGAGCCCTACTGTACTAGCTAGAGGAAGCGCGCGCACGTTAGCAAAGCAATCCGGAAGAGAGGACAAGACTGCAACGTCCCTTACACCTTTGATTTTGTGTCGGTTCACGCGAAAACGAGGCATCGGATATTTGGCTTACCCACAACCATGTCGACACTATCACCTCATTTCGTCCCAAACGACTCGCCCAACCCCACAAAACTAAAAGACGCTTCCTTTCCCGATCCTTATCTCTCGACCCAGCTAGATCCCGAGGTAGCATCTTTCAGATCATCTGCAATCAGACTAACCCCCGTGAGGGGCGAAGATCATGGCACGCGCGATGCTTCATCTTCCCCTATAGGTTCCCATGTGCACAGTGACTCGCCCCGAGATGAGGTACACCCAGCTTCTTATTCTGAATATCTCAGCCCCGCGGACGACCTCTCCAGTGAGATGAGCGTCCATACGTCGCCAACCGCCGATTACCTGTCGGCAGCCTTCAGTACAGACCTAACCCCAGACTCGAATAGTTGGCAGCATGACGGAGGTTTACATCCAGGCATTCGCAGCACTGCATTAGACCCGAACGAGTTGAACTCTGCACAGATGAACATGGCTCCCTCTCAACTACTTACTCCTAATCTGACCAATAAATCAAGTCTCTCTTCTGAGACGACCAGTATCAAGAGTCAGCCTGGTTCTGTTAACTTGCAGAACCAACCGCAGGCGCTCACTTTGATTACTTGCCCCCCGGATGAACGTCTGGATGTGCCCGGGGACCTTGGCTCTCCCAGGGCCAGAAGCCCAATTGTCAAAATTGAAAGTTTTTCCCGGGGTGATTCGCCGGTCAGAGATATGCGGCGACCAAGTCATTCTTCAACACACCTTTCCCCCGGCGGGCCATCTAGCGAATCCGACGAGGATGCAGGGGTGGACAATGGCGGATATCTTGGATCTGTCCAATCTGTCTCGCGAAAACATGATGGATCTTGGATTCCAAATGTGGCTACTGGCCATGCTGGTGTGGAGCCCACGTCTCGAGAAAATGTTTACGTGCCAAGCCCGAATGAGCTCGAACTGCGGCGACAGTTGGACGAGAAGAATGAAGATATTCGATCTTGGTCGGCCTCAGTCAGTGTGGCGAATAGTGAGAATGGCGATGACCCAACCCCACACAGGGGCCGCAAGCACACAGGTAACCGACGCAGAGCGAAAAGTGCTGGCGACCCTTCGCTCCAGCAAGATTACTTCAACTTGAAAGTTGCTCTCATCCCTGGACCAGGCGTACTCGTCACTGAGAACAGCGAAGAGGAATACAGTGATCATGAATCAGCAATCGAGGGAACCGGCTCGGAAACCCCGGCTGCCAGTGTGAACGAGGCGAGATGGGCTCTGGGAGAACAGGAAATGCCGCATAGTCTGGAACAATCTAGTCCTGAAGGTGAAGAACCGTCGCCTCATCAGTTCCTGGGACGACCTCCCTGGCGAGATCTCGTTCCGGTCCCTTCTCCGGACATGGCCCGTACGCAGCCTGCAAGCTCAACTGCAGCTATGGTCGAGTATGAGAGACGTGTGAGGGACTTGGACAATGTTTCGCGCGCGGCGACTTGGGGCACCCGTGACGCCGATATCAACAGTCTCGTCGGTGCGGGGGGTTCCTTCGAAAATTTGTCTATCAGCAACGACAAAAGTAGGAAACACGAGAGGCGGAGCAGTCTCCGCAAGTTGTTGCACAGGAAATCGTCCAACAATCTCAAACCACCTAACAATCTCAAGCGGCATCTGTCTGATCTCTCTATCTCACTACCTGGCTCTGATGACCAGAGCAAGGGTGACGAAAATAAAAGCTCCCATCAAAGGAAGAACAGTTTCCCACATCGCAAACTAAGCCTTGGTCTTTCACCTAGGTCGCCTAGTTTGAGCACTGGAGGTGCCGTTATTGCCATAGCCGGGCAAATGGCCGCCATTGGTGGGAAGGATACCCTTCGGGCGGCATCCCCAAGCTCCACAAGCAACCCTTGGCCTTCGCTCAAGGTCCGTGGACGAAGCAGAAGTGAAATACCGAGACCGTCAACACCTGGGCTCATCGACCTAATGACAAGCCATGGTGGACCACCGGTTGCTAATATCGCATATTCACACTTACAGCCAGAACCTCGCAGCGCCCCACCAAACCAAACTCGACTAGGGCAAGGCACCGGTGACAGTGATGAGAACGACGATAATACGCCTGATGAGAGAGGATTAGTGATGGATCTTTCTGTTCAATCACGCCTCCCCGTGCCTACATTGGAAGGGTTCAGGACTCAGATCGCTCAATTAAATCCCCGACTTCAGCCGGCACTACTTGAACGCTTTGCCAACGAGCAACTCCGCCGCTACAAAAAGTTGGTGGAAAACAAATTCACCCATACCTGTGCGGTTACCCAGAAGGGCTGTGCTTCGGGCAAATTTTGCTTTGCGCAGGGCGGCGAAGCCCTGCTGTTGACACCTCGTGCAGGCCCGCAGGACTCAGAAGCCCCCCATACTCAATTTCAAATCCCTGGGCATGGTGAGGCAAGCGACGATTCCCCAGCCCTCGGAGAAAGTGCTGTCACTGCGGCACAGTTCCCTCCGGGGGTCCCTTTGCCGCCAGTCAAACGGCTTCCAGCGGAGTTTGAATGCCCGATATGCTTCCAGGTGAAGAAGTTTCAAAAGCCATCGGATTGGACCAAGCATGTCCATGAAGATGTGCAGCCATTCACCTGTACTTTTGCCCATTGTAGCGAACCCAAATCATTCAAACGAAAGGCTGATTGGGTCCGACATGAGAGCGAACGGCATAGACAACTAGAGTGGTGGACCTGTTCGGAGCCCGATTGCAACCATACTTGTTTCCGAAAGGATAACTTTGTACAGCATCTCGTCCGCGAGCACAAGATGCCAGAGCCCAAGGTAAAGAAAACGAAAGCCAAGGGACTATCCAAACATCCGGTAGATCCGAATTCACCCGAAATGATGGCAGAGATCCAGCGCGAGCGCGAGATTGAGCAGCTCTGGAACCTTGTGGAGCAATGTCGACATGACAATCCGAAGGGGCCCAAGGATGAGCCGTGCCGGTTCTGTGGTAACGTCTGCAGCAGTTGGAAAAAGCTTACGGTGCATTTGGCCAAACACATGGAGCAGATCGCGATGCCCGTGTTAGCTCTCGTCAACGAACGGGATCTGTCGTCCAACCTGGGACCAGGTTCTCCTGGCAAGGGCGATCTCGGCTCCGAGCCAGAGTCGATCTCGCGTGAAACCACCAATTTTGCGCCCAATCTGAACGGGGACCAAGCTAGGGCAGACATGCCCATAGGCTACACGCAGGCACCATACCCAGGTCATGACGTTGGGCAATCCGACGGGCTTGAGGTCCCTTTCAGCTCCACCGGCGTTCCCCACTTTACCACCATGTCAGGCGCGTTCATATCCGCCGAGCCTGAGCCGATGGACGCGTACGACGAGTATAGTGTGCAGGTGGGACTACAGCCAGGGGGGGTCATAGACCAGTCGCAGCTCATATCTATGCACCAGAACTCAGTGACATATCCTCCCCCTTTCAATGCCGGGCCGCGTCCTCGGGTCTCCAATCAAGACATGAGCGTATTACAAGAATCGTATAATTTCTCCATGTCTCCCACGGAGATGCAGCCGACCTATGACCCCCGGTACATGTCATCCACGGGGGAGAATAGCTATGTCTGCCAAGGGGCCGTGGCACCCACCATGCCATTCACTGCGCCCGGGGCCTACCCAAACCAACTATAGTAAACCGGTTTACCACTCGATCTATACTGGACCGGGCCGTAACCGTCTGCCCCATCACATTTATTTGACTCTTTTTGTATATGATACCCTAGCGCACTAGTTTGGCAGATCGTGAAGGAAATTTTCTATAATCTGATCTGAAACGGTTTTATTCCTGAAGATTCCATCACCTTTTTTTTTTCCAGCACCCCTGGGTATTGGCCACACTTATATGGGTGATGATTTTCTTTTTGGATCTCTGGAGACACTTGATCTGCATTGATATACCCATAACCAATACTAGATGATTTACTCGATGGTCATGTCTTGGCGTAGTATAGCATGCGCGTCAAGTGACAATTACTTTTTTTCATTTTTGCTTTTTTTTTTCTTAATTTCCCTGCTCTCTTTCTTTTCCCTTGGAGAATATTTTTAAGTTTTATGATTTTTTTGGTGCTTACAGACATTTTGGGCCCACGAATGATAGACGTTAAAACTACCGACGCGGTGGATGTGACTAACGATTTCTTCGACGCGATATGTAGGAAAGAGGGACCTCGTATGAGAAATGAGGATCTCTCTACGTATATGTATGTACACCCTACCTCAGGACTAGTAGTAGGAGGAAGTAGTAGTCCACTCGCTCGATGGAAATCCCGAAAGGGACAGTTGCTCAACGGATGATGATTGGACAAGGAGGCCATGCACCTGGCCCAGAGAGAAAAGCACGAAGAACGGGGAATCTTGCAACTAGGCCACTAGGTGCAGAGTTCGAGGGAGGTTGACCAGCGAGGGAATCTCAACTGGCAATCTGTCAACCTGAGAAGGGAAAAAAAGAAATGAGACATCACACGACCGGATGCACTCACAAGTTCCCGGCGAGCGGCACATCCCCTGTTATTTTATTTTATTTTATTTTGATTATAAATAGTAATGAGTAACCGTAATATTGCAGAACAGGGAGACCTTCACGATGGATGACTTGGGCTTCCGCGGAAGGCCAAAAAAAAAAGAAAAAGAAAAAGAATAAAATAAAATAAAATAAAATAATAAAAAAGTGGATGAGAAGTCAAACGACAAAAAGAATTCAGGAGGAGAGAGTGGAACTTAAAAATAAAATAAGATAAACACGAGTTTGAAGGGGATCGACAAAGTGGGATGGGGGTTGACTTTTCAGTTGACGGAATACTTTGGGGGAGTTCGTCCGCTAAGGTTTTTTTTTTTTTTCTCGACACCAAACCTTCTGGGCGATGCGAAGACGACAAGGTTGGCTTTGACAGTGAGGTGGAGGTAGAGGTGGAGGTCCTGGATGAGGGGATGGCAGACGCAACTCCTCGGACATTGCTTATCTGCGTGATCTTTGAGTCGTTCAACTAGGAGGAGTATGTCCATACTACGACTACAGATCCCAGCCAGGGATACACTCAATGGATGGAATGAATTCTGTCCAGCTTTCCGAGGCAGCCAATCACAAGGACGAATTCCCCATAGATTTTGGATTCAGGGTCTAGGCTGATAACATACGATTTCCACGATATCGGGTGGGAATGCAGATCCAATGAGACCGTCGACTAGTAAATAAGATTAGGTGGTAGCTGGAGTGATGTGCAGGAGTAATCATAATAATCAGCAATAATGAGATTCGTACTTTGTATATTAGCCCAGATTAGCAAGTATAACAGTAGTACTAGGAGTAGTGGTGGTCGGTATGTGGTGCCGATGTCCCTTTTCCGAGAAGAAAATAAATTATTAATTATCAAAAAATTCAAAATTCTTTTTCTCGCATGATAAAGTCTTTTTGAGGGAACTTTGTAATCCTTACAGGCACAGCCACGCTGTTGTCCCTATGTTATTGGTTCTCATGCTGGTTGTCATGATGCCGATGGAGTCCTTCTCATTTTCCTTCGATTGCCAATCACGGACCACATACCACGCGTGCCATGGAGCCCCCTTACATTCCATCCTTCGTTCTCTTAAGAGAATTCCGAACTAAGTAAGTAGCTTACCTGCCATTAGTCAAGAACCTCATTCGTTTCAGCTGACGAATCCCGGGGACTCAATTCCCGATGTGGAGATCGACGGTGGGAAGCCCAAGGGTCTTCGCCCTTTCCCCCCCTCATTTGGACAATGAAGTTGTATGCTCCATAGTCCATACTGCTATGGAGATAGGGTCCTACGTATAGGTACATCCATACCTTGGGCATTATGAGGCTGTAATGCCTCTCTATCTAATCTAATCACATTCTACTCGTCCGATCCGACTATCCAGGGGTAGCTCGACAGAGCTTGTTCTGCAATGAGCTACTGCATGCTAGGAGCCTGTATGTACATACATTCTCTCTCTCTCTCTCTCTCTCCCTTTTTTTTTTTTTTTATGTACCTGGAGCCATATCTGACGGCATTGATCTGGGAAGAAAGGAAGGGGATGGTGAGATGGCAGCTGAATGAAAGCAATATGTATGTACATACATGCGACCTGAACGCATGCATTCAGAAAAAAGGAAAAAGTAAAAAAGAAATGAATCAGTAAAATTCTGTTTTCTGTCGTCGATGTATGACAGATCTTAATGAAAGGTTGAGAGCGGTCACGTTAATTTCCCCTCCTCAGCTCTCATCTCCCCTTCAACCCCCAAACAAGAATAGTACAGAATCAATCAACTTTCATTCTTTGGAAGATCCTCAATCCCCCATTCCTCCAATACTGTGTACTTCTCAGCTTTAATGGACTCTGCAGTCCACCTCCCACTGATTGGCCCCTTCGTATGGATGCACAGACAGTACGTACTCTTGGGTTTTTCTTCCCCCCCCCCCTCCTTCTCCTCTCTCCTGTCCTGTCAATGTGGAAATCTTTCTTTCCCTTTTCTCTCTGAAGTTTGAACACGTTATCGCGTGGGGTTTGGCGATGGACTTAGTTAGTGTCCACCACCGGCCCGTCGATCACATCGTCTATCCTTTCCCTTCTTTTCTGCCGTTGACATTAGCGCTCACTCTCGTCTTCCCTTGTCGTTTCTTTTATTAATTATATATAGGGAGTGTGTTAATTAACCTTGTTCTATTTAAAAACGGATCTTCTTCACGGTCCCATCCCAGTCTATGTTTCATCTCAGAACTTACTCAGCCTCACTGCCCGACTTTCTCATCGGCTTCCCTTTTTGACTATGTTTGGTCTGGTCTCAACTATCATCATTTCTACAAGAAGACCATTTTGACTACGGATGGTGCCTAAAAGAAGTCACATTAGACCCATGGCCTGTGAGCGCTTTAAACATTTATATAAATCACTCTGCTACTCAACTCACGCGCTATCCTGACGCATCATCCCCCACTACTTTGGCTTGTCAATACATCCTAGACGTGGAGACGATTATCGGGAAGGTCATTTTAGACAGCCGACTTGGCAGCTATGAGTGTATGTGACTGTCGTCCGGCCTCGTTCAGTCCTACCTCAATTGTCAACTGTCAGGGAAATATATGACCAGTGAACTAACTATGCCTTAGGAGCCTAACCCCAAAAGACTGACTTGGGACAACTCGGCGGATATCCTCCAAGGCATGCTGGACCGGCAGGTCGCACCAACGTCACCGCAGCTAGAGTTCTCATCGGATGGGTTTGTAACCTCTGAATACGCTCTAGGCGATCCAGCATCTTTTCTGGGCCTGCAGTTCGGTCCCGACTCCGCAATAATCCCGCACAGCCATCTATCTATGCTCAACCAATGGCCACCACATCACCAGCAAACATCGTCACCACCGCCTCAACCCAGCTTGGACGTTTCTCAGTACCATCACCCGCGGTTAACGAGCAATCAAGATGCGTGGAACCCGCTTCAAGTAACGGGTGTGCCGGTGAACACGTCGGCATGGGGGTTTCCTAACGCGAATAAGCTCCAGCAAACGCCTGAGGGTGGCCGCAAAAATTCGACGGGACAGTACAGCGCAACTTCCGAGAGCGACAGCCATTATAACGGCTTCCACCCCTCGGATTCGGGATACTGCAGTCGCAGCTGTACCACGCGTTCAGTCACCACGTCGTCTTACGCGGTTGATTCCGTCAGCAGCCCATTCTTGGCGCCGCATGAACATGAACAAGATCGAGCGTCAATGCTGGACCTCGGTCCATCCCAATGTGGTGACACAGTTGTCGATGCGCTAGAGATAGCAGAATCACCATCTTTAATGTGTCATGATGTGATTACATGTGATTACCCCAACTGCCCTTGGACGGGCAAGTGTCCATCCGACAAGAGGTATGCTTCCTCTCTTCAAGCATGTTTTACCAAAATTACTATACAGAAGAGCCATGAAGTTGACTAGCAGCAGGAAGCATGAAGCGAGACACAGAAAGCTGTTCAAATGCGACGAGCCCGGTTGTACGCGGAAGGAAGGCTTCGGCACCATCAATGACCTTGCACGACATAAGAAGTGCGTCCACAAACAGGAACCAGAGCGCGGGCCCAAAGTGTTGTACATGTGTTTTGGGCGTAATTGTCCACGCCGAGGTAAAGAATGGCCCCGGTTGGACAACTTCCGTCAGCATCTCTCCCGGATGCACAATGACGAGGATACCAATGAACTGCTGAAAAGGTAAGTTGTCTATGAATGCGTCAGAAAAAGCAAGCATTAAGCTCGTCCAGGTCGCATGATTGGTATGAGTCTTATGTGAAGCCACGAATTGAGCCTTCATCTTTTACCGACCGCTTCTCGGATGAGGTCACGGTTGCTGCTTCTGAATCAGAATATGTCAGAAGGGGTTCCGGTCAGGACCTTTACAGCTTGCGGTCTCCAGATACGCCTGTCTTTCGGCCATCTAATGAGTCAGGCCCTCAACCAATTAAGGACCCCCAGACTCAACGGAGATATTCTACCTTGGATAGTACACCAAGGCTCCCTGCAAGAGATACTACACAGCGCCTTGAACTACCGGCCCTGACGACCCTCAATCTGAGCTCAACCACGGACCTAGAGCCTTCTACTTCTTCTCGGCTAGGACACTCCCAACCTGATAGTATGGAAAACATGGTATCCGAGATGGCTACTAACATGGTCAACGTCATGGCAAGAATGATGAACAGCAGTAGCAATGATAGCGGTAACAGCCAGCGCAGACATAGTCACCATATGGGCGACAAAGTAAAGACACTTAAGCGGGATGACGGACTGTCCGATCAGAAGCGGGAGATGATGCAAAAGATTTTATCTGCAGCTTTAGACCAGGTGTCCGGGAACTCAGAACCTAGTCAGGCTGCTTCGCAGGCGGTGCCTGACAGTAAGTCCGACAAAAAAGGCTGGATACAATGTGAATTCTGCACAAAGCGCACGCGTTTGCGCTGCGAAATGAAGTGGGTGAACATACGTCGCTTTTATCTGGAATAAAGTCCTAACATTTCAACTTCCAGGAAACATAAGAAGCGCCATGAGCGACCGTACGGTTGCACATTTGAAAAATGCAGCAAGACCTTCGGTAGCAAAGCTGACTGGAAACGACACGAGAACTCCCAGCATTTTCCCTTGCAGAGTTGGCGCTGCACCCTTCCCGATGCTACGCAAGGGGATAGATCTTGTGCTCGCCTATTCTACGACCAAGGAGAATATACCCGTCACCTGAAAAAGCATCACCATGCAGAAGATAATGAGGTGCAGACTGCACTGGCCAAAAACAGCATCGGACCGCACGGACAGTCGCAATTCTGGTGCGGCTTCTGTCGCGACATTATCCCACTAAAGGGCCAGGGCCTTGCCGCGTGGAATGAGCGCTTCAATCACATAGATTCTGAGCACTTCAAAAATGGCGAGCGGATCGAGGATTGGCTCCTCCCTTCGGGGCATCTGACCAAGGGCCGAGAACGCAGCGAAGGAAAGGAACGAATCGGAACGCACGAAGATGGAGATGGCGAGCCTCCAGCAGATGATGTGAGCGACGATGAGACTGTCGGCAGTGTCTGTAACTCTGAGGGCGAGAACCCACGGGATGAAACCCCCATGGCGGCCCCAGAACAAGTACATAATCTTTCACTTCGCCAAGTGAACACTCCTTTCGAAAACAATTTTCCTATGTTTAACTCTCTTTCCGACCAGACGAACTTACGAAAACGCAAATTTTCCGCCCCACAACCGTCGTCAGACTACTACGTTCGGGCAGATATTCCGGCTATGGAGAAAAGATATAAGACCGATGATGCCATTCAATCCCATTATGGGAACCTCGTCTACTGCGTAAGTCATTCCAGATCAGTTGGTTTTGGAGACGAAAGATAGGCTAACCCAAGAACAGTGTCAGTGTATGCAGGGTCCGTTTTCTTGGTCTTATACCGCTCAATGCTTATATTGTCCTCATAGCTTCTGTGGCAATTGTGGGAGTGAGCGCCAGCCTCGGCCTAATGGATATATAGAATCCTCTTAAAAAATACCGTACATACATATTGAGCCTACCAAACTAGCTCTAAATGATATGAAAGTAACGTCAGATCTTACATTGACATACGGGGTATATACAATACAATGTTCGCGTAGGATAAGATGAAAATCCCTTATTTTTGAGTGCCCGTCAGCTCCCTAGCCTGCTTCTCCAGAGTCGCCACTTCTTCTGCGAAGAATTGTTAGGAACAATGCGGGAAGCAAAGAACAGAAAAACAATAGGAAAATTCAAAAAGCACATACGATTCTTGATATATTTCGACTCATCCATTTCAAGCTTCAGCCATGTCCAGTAAATCACTTGGTAGGTGAAAATGGCTCCCAAGAAGACCTTGGCAAACGGACTTGCGAAGAGTTTGTACCGAGATACCTGGTATGAGTTAGCCTTTTTTGGGATATGGTTCTTTGGCCTTCCAAACTTGAAGGTAATATGAAAGTGTCTTTGTTTACGGAGACCTTGCCTTAATGGGTCCATGACTTAACTTACAACAATGACGACAACAAAAGCTAGGAAGCACTTACCCCTTCTTTGAACGAACTGGATTCGTTGGTGTTCAAGTTGGTCCCAGTGGTGCTAAATGGTCTGCGAGATGGGGACGCAGTAAAGACGAAACAGGATCGCGGGGAACGGGTTAATGGCAGCCGGCGAAACATATTGGGTGGGGAAATAGGTATTGTCTGGTCAAGTTTTAGGACTGAGATTAAAGGTGGTGTATTGATTCGGGTTCTCCGGGGTGTATATATATATATATACAAGTCAAACTGAGTCGTGGATGGAAGAAGGATCGATGACTCAGTGATCACATGACAGAGTAGTCGCTAAAGCCGCATTAGGCAAGCGGCTCTGCATTAAATCATGATGGACAGGCGGGGAGGAGCCTAAGGACGATAAGCTTCGAGGACCTGGGGAAAGGTCGAGGTTCCTGACCGACTTATTCCTTCCTTCTTCCATCTTTTGGCACCTCGGTTTTGCGCCCTGGACTACGGCGAAATCCGGTCGGAGAGCGGTCGATATTGACCGAATCTGCGCATCGAAGCTTGGAGCTCTATTGTGACTAGGCTTACAGATGGTTTCTAGTGGGCTCTACGTGGGTGGGAAGAGAGAGTGATGGTGCGGCAAAGGGAGGATGATGAAAGGGTTGAGCTGTTGTGTTTTTACACCAACGGAAAATCGACGGTACGGAGTAGTGTTTGCTGCTGCCGTGGAGCAAAATGGGCAAAATGACGCGGATGAAGGCACGTGCACCGGAGCGCTAACCCCAAAGGAGGACTAGCTGCGGCGCGAGTCTGTGGCTCGTGACCCCGGGAATGGCAGGACTAGCCGGACGGCCAGCTGTGGCTGGAGAAGGCCAGGCAAAAGGCGTGCGCGAATCTTTCCGCCCTTCGATCTTCTTGTCCCACGCCTGTCTATTCGATGTTTGTTACTTGTGTGGCAGCGTGGATTTTGGCCCATTTGACCGTTTCGTTTTTCGCTCGTTTTTGATTCTTGTGCGCCATCTCCTGTTTTTCACTCACTGGATGCGATCGGCTCTTTCCTTCCCGTATCGGCCTTTGTCGTGAGATTCACTGCGATTTCTCTCTCCCGGGGCCCTGCGCTTTGCGCTTCGCCGTAGCCCCGTGGTATATATAACCGTTTCTTGTCCACGGGCGGCACATCGTTCCCCCAACATTGATGTATCGTGTCTGCAAGGGAGCTTAGGTCTTTGTCTGATTGCATGAGAAACAATAGCATTGTCTTGTGCTGAATGGCAGTGTCTGTTTGGGTCTGTTTACTTTTTGTTTAACGTGACAATACGTTCTACTTTTCCATTCACTCAATCCTTGGTGAGTGCCATCGATATCCCTACATCCCCATCAGCCTCCCCTGGCGCGAATTTCTCGTGTCTTCAATGACCTATCACATGGCAATTTGTCTCAAACCATTCCGTTTTTGCTCACATGGCGATCATCAAAAGAGATCCAAACCTCAAGCCTTTTTGGCGCGATACCATGGCTCGTATGAAGCGCTCAATCGAAGAAATCGCCAACAAGTCCGATTCGGACGATGACGACTACAGCGACCACCCTCGCTCATCCCGCCGCTCTGTCTCGCGTTCCAAGTCGAGGAAGAAGGCCAAGCCATCGAAGAAGAGAGCTCGTCGCCGTTCCGACGATGACATTGTGTCTGACGATGATGATTTCTTCAGTGAGGATGAGGAATTATCTTATGAAGAGTCGGAGGAAGAAGTTGATGTCAACGCTCAGAGGAATGCAAGAGGCCTAGTCGCGCGAAGGGCGGCCACGAACCGACCACTTTATAACGAAGCCGATTCAAGTAGCATCGAGGACGACAATGAAGCAGAAGATGCGTCACCAAAGAAACGCAAAACTGCCGTGGTCACGCTGAAATTGGGTGATGCTTTGAAGCGACAGCCACAACAGGACCAAGGAAACCGACGAGTCACCCGACGTACACGGGGCGCGTCGGAAGACATTTACGCGCTCACGAACTCAGGTCGCCATGTGGAAACAGTCGAACGAGGTACACATAGTCCAGAGGCTGAAGTAATACGACCAAATCGCCGCGGATCTCGCTCATCGAAGCAGGTTCCTACGGTTATGGAAGAGGATGAAGAGACTCAGGAGAAGCAAGAGGAGTATATTGAAGAGACCACAGAAATCAAAGGCTCTCAGATCGAGATTATGGAAAGTGCGCAGGCCAGCTTCGAAGAAGGGCCCATATCCGCTGGGGGTGGCCAGCAAGGAGCGGCAGAAGCTGACGAGGGATTTGTTCCGGAGTCTGAGAACGAAGGTGCTGAGCACGAAGAGGATGAAGACGAAGATGAGGGCCCAGTAACACGGAGAAGAACTCGTCCAAACAGAAGCCAGCAAATCGATGAGCCCGAGCAGCCAGATGAAGAGGAACCCTCAGGGCCTCGTCGCTCCAGCCGAAAGAAACCGAAGAGTTCTCAACGCAAGCGACCAAATGATGAGGAGAGCGACTTTGAACCCGAGGAGGAAGACTCGAACGATGACGATGAGGTATCCCAGAACGGAAAATCCAACGGCTCTCCCCGTAAAGCCAGTCAAGCACGCGATGATGAAGAGGACAGCACCGCCGGACGGCGTCCTGGGCTTCGCAAGAGGGCGTCTCGATCTCGTGGGCAATCCGAAGCGGCAGGTGACATTGCAGAAGAGCTCGCAGAAGAACTTGAGGATCTGAGGGGTGGCCGACCTCGTAGAAGATTGCAGACGGATATTGTGTATGAAAAACCTCGGCGCAGCCGCAAAGATGTGGATTATCGAATCATACGGCCGGACCTAATTCTACCGATCGAGGAAGCCGAGAATGAAGTCAATGAGTCTCCCTCACGCCGTGGTGGCCGCGGGGGTGGCGGCGGCGGTAGCTGGCAACGCACCCTATTCCCTACTTACGGGCCTTTCGGAGGTGGTGGCCCAGCTGCGATTCTGGCTCCGCCCGGAGCACCTGCTGCGACTGGAGGCGTTGACAGTGATAGCAGCGATGATGAAGGGTTGCATCACCCGCGTGGCTCCGTCGCCGGTGTGGGATCCGCTCTTGGGCCACACGGCGCTGGTCTTCTCCCCGGCCAGACTCAAACACACGACGCTACGCAGGGTCTCTCAGGGACACCAGCAAACCTGGGCAGAGTCAAGGATAAGCAGGCGCTTGCGGATGCAGATCCACTAGGTGTGGATATGAGTGTCAATTTCGATAGTGTTGGAGGCTTGCAGGGACATATTGATCAGTTGAAGGAAATGGTGTCCCTTCCTCTGCTATACCCGGAGATCTTCCAACGTTTCCACATCGTGCCGCCTAGAGGAGTTCTCTTCCACGGTCCTCCTGGAACGGGTAAAACACTTTTGGCCAGGGCCTTAGCGAACAGTGTCAGCTCCGAGGGTCGTAAAGTCACATTCTATATGAGAAAAGGAGCTGATGCACTAAGCAAATGGGTAGGAGAGGCTGAAAGGCAGCTGCGACTGCTATTCGAGGAAGCTCGTAAAACACAGCCTAGCATTATCTTTTTCGACGAAATTGACGGTAAGTGAACGACACCTGAAGAACGGGTCCTAGTAACATTACTGACTTGCCTACCTCCAGGCCTGGCTCCTGTGAGATCAAGCAAGCAGGAACAGATCCATGCATCTATCGTCTCTACTCTGCTAGCGTTGATGGATGGTATGGATGGCCGTGGTCAGGTCATTGTTATTGGTGCAACCAATCGACCTGATTCGATTGACCCTGCTTTACGCCGTCCGGGTCGTTTTGATCGAGAGTTCTACTTCCCCTTGCCGAATGCCGAAGGTCGACGCGCTATTCTCGATATTCATACCAAGGGCTGGGATCCACCTCTTCCGGGCCATATAAAGGATGAGCTGGCTGAGATCACCAAGGGCTATGGAGGAGCCGACCTTCGTGCTCTTTGCACAGAAGCCGCCCTTAACGCAGTGCAAAGAAGATATCCCCAAATTTACAAATCCGATAGGAAGCTGCTTATCGATCCGAAGAACATCGATGTCACCCCGAAGGACTTCATGCTCGCCATCAAGAAGATGGTTCCATCATCAGAGAGGTCCACTTCATCCGGGGCCTCACCGCTCCCCAAGGAAGTCGAACCCTTACTACGTCATCCTCTGGCGGACATTAGAGCCCTTCTCTCCGAAATTCTTCCACAAAGAAAGCGGCTCACTGCTCTGGAAGAAGCACAATTTGAAGAGCCCGAGGGCGCGGGAAGCTTCCAACGTGAGCAGATGCAGCAGGAATTCGACCGGTCGCGAGTTTTCAGGCCCAGAATGCTGCTTCGCGGACTGATGGGCATGGGTCAACAGTATTTGGCGGCTGCCATGCTGCATTACTTTGAAGGATTGCACGTGCAATCGTTCGATTTGCCGACTCTCCTTAGTGATTCGACTCGGTCCCCGGAAGCAGCTGTCATACAGCTCTTTGCAGAGGTAAAGAGGCATAGGCCAAGTGTAATCTACATTCCCAACATAGAAAGTTGGTTCGAAACCGTTGGGCAAGCCGTTCTCTCCACTTTCTTGGGTTTGCTGCGGTCAATCCCTCCCACTGATCCTGTCTTGCTTCTCGGAGTCCAGGAGCTAACTGGAGAAGAAACGGACACCGGGTTGCTGCGGCAAATGTTTGGGTTTTCCAAGAGAAACTTCTACGACTTGAAAGCACCAGGAAATGAGGCACGGTACGAGTATTTCAGTAAGGTAGTCGAGTACATCAAAACCTCGCCAGCACATTTTCCGGATCCTGAGAACCGTAAGAAGAGGGTACTCGAGACCCTGGAGGTTGCGCCTCCGCCTCCGCCAAAGCCCACAATGCCACTCACCAAGGAGCAGCTAAAAGCTCAGAAAAAGAAAGATCACCAAACGCTGAATCTTTTGAAGATCAGGATCCAGCCTATCATGGACCAGATCAAGAAGTACAAACGGTTCAGAACCGGTGTGATCGATGAGTCTCAGATCCGGTACCTCTGGGAAGAAGAGGATCCGAACATCGTCACAAGCGATCTACCGATTGAACAGCGGACTACCTTCCGGCCATTCGAGAAGGCTTATGACAAGCACGGCGTCCCGGGGCTCTGGGAAACTGTGTCGGGTAAATTCTTCTACAATATGGAAATCGTTACCATCGAAAAGCGCCTCTCCAATGGATACTATAAACGGCCCAGTGACTTCCTAGCTGATATAAAGCGACTAGCCAAAGATGCACGACAAACTGGCGATCAAGAGAGAATCTTGAGAGCCAACGAGCTTCTGTCTAACGTTGAAGTTGATATTTCCACCATCGAGCAGGCCGAGCCGCAGCTCGTCGCAGAATGCGAAAATGTCTACATTCGGGAACTAGAAAGGGAGAAGGCCGCAGCTGAAAAGGCTAAGAGGGCCGAGGAAGCGGAAAAGGGAGGCTTTTTGGGTCATACGGCGAACCATAATGTACCGCATGGTAATACTGAGTCCGGTCCGTCGAGTGGCCCTGTGGTACTAGGCGAGACGTTCCCCGACCTCGCTCCCAAGGAGCAGGCCAGACCGGTGACGCCGACACGACAATCAACGGCAAGCTTCTTGACCAACGGCTACCATCAAAGCGGAAGCTCAGATCTTAATGATCTGAGCGCCCATGGACCGACAAGCAACGGTTCACATGAGTCGAGACCAGATGGGGACGGTGATGTCTACATGACTAATTCAGAGGACCACTCAGGCACAAGAGACACGCAGGGCAGTTCATTTGGGCCATCTGCGCAGCCAAAACCACCGTATTCCCATACAGCGCCTTCCCAACAAATACGCCGCGAATCAGGTCTTTCGAGCTTCTCACAGAAGGGGCCGATGACCCCAATGGCTCCGGGATCTCAGCCACACGATTACGCCAACGAAGCTTCCACTACGCAGACAACATCGGGCCAAAAATCGTCGGATCAATCATCTCTCCGTCCAAACTATACACAAAGCCCCATAGCGGGTCAAGCAATAAGGCACGATTTCCCTGACCTTACCCAATACCCAGACCGGGTGGGATTAGAAGAGCATCTACCAGACACGCAGCAAGGTGACAGCAGCCAGCCGTCACCAAGACCCCGTGAGTCTCTCCCCGGAAACGCAGACTCGCAACCCGAATACCATGTGAATGGCAGTCAGTCACAACTTAAAACACAGCCACCCGTGCCTCTTTTCGATGAATCTACGAAGCCGTCTTCTCATCCTCCAGTCAATCTCCATTCGATACTGAACGATGATGACCACTCACCAAAGCTAATCGTGGACCCTGAGTACATCCAGAATCTGCACGAGCAGCTCACCCAGCGGACCAGTGGTTGCTCGGTGGAGCAACTTGAGCAGATCAACACTAGCCTAATGGATTATCTGTGGCGCACGCGTGGTGAATGGAACCGCAGCAAAGTGGCCGCTGGCATTCGTGACTCATTTAATGAGATCCTCGAAGACATGCAGGTGATGCAGGAAATTGGTCCTATCAGTCAAAGGACGAAGGAACAATTAGGTTCATCATTTGAACACCTATAACCATATTGCTACCCCCGTCAAGAGAAAGAGAACCCTTAATGCTCTCTTCTTTCCTTGCCTCCACCCCTCGGTCCCCCTCCCTCACCCTCTCTCCTTCTCCATTTTCTTTCTTTCCTGCCCATTATTTTCCTCTTCGCTTGGTATAGGGTTGAATTAGGGGTGTTTGCGTGCTTTGTCAATGGACTTGTGTAATGAAGTCAATGCTGGCTCTAGGACTTTTTTGTTTGTTTTTTTCCTTTTCATCCTCTTTTTATCTTCTACTCTCAGATTATACCTATCTTGTTTACATTTCTTATCTTGCTTATTATCTACGAAATGGCTGTTCTGAAAGCCTGCGGTATGTTTCTTTTTTGGTTGGTACTACGGATTTTTAAGGGCCGGTTTGTTTTCTTTTGTGCGAACGTGAGCTCGTGCATGTATGCTTTAAAACATCTCATCTGTTTCAAAATTTGTGGACAAGTTTGTAGATAAAATGCATCAGCATCAGTGACTAGAGTTGAGTTTGATAGACCCTGGAGAATTGAACGTATACTTGTATGGCAGTGAACATGTGACGCGGCCAAGACACCAGCCTGTCCTTTCCCGGAGTGCGATCATCACCGCCTCACCAGATTTCCCTTTCCTGCGGCGAGAACATTAAATTGTTTCTCCCTCCCTCATACAACTCCGACATTGTGCTGCTTGGTGTCGCGCGCAATTTTAAATTTCAACATTATTTGCAGACAGCGCTGCAAAGGTTTTACACCACAACCAGTGACGATATTATGACCCCAGCCTAAATACTCCCCGCCGACATTTAAATTCCATTCGATCGCTATTCCAGTACAACCATATCTGTCCTATACAACACCATGGTAAACTGGCTCAGTCTTGCCGTGCCGTTCGCCTACCTAGGCGTCCTGATCGGCTCCCTGGCAACGTTCTCCTCATTATACCGCAAACGCAAAGCCCGTATGTCCAGCACCTTTTACATAAAAGCCACGTTCATTCAGTATACTAACCAACGCCCCTCGCGGACATATAGAAAAGGCATTCTCTCTAGAAGCATGGTTCCCTGCTCATCTCCAACGAGATATCTACTTCTCCCTTCTTCACATTGACCCGCCTGCGACCTCTTCCAAGGAGAAGAAGGCGCCCGCTGTACCCGAGTCGGTGCTTAAGGCTGCGCTCTTAAGACGTGCAGAGGAAGATATTAAACGGGTTTTGGCCCTGCGCAGTCAGAAACAAGCTTTAGCTGTGCTGCTTCAGCGTGGTAGTGTGGGTGATGATTTGTGGCAACGGTTCCAGAGGGCGGAGAAGGAGATGGAGGATGAGGTTCGCGATGTTGTCTCTGAGGTTAGTTACTCTCTCCTTGTGCTTTGCTTTCGGACATCTTGAGGGTGTGGTCACTAAATGGTTCGAACATAGGCCAACGCATATGTACCTGGTTGGGGCCAAACGATTTTCCAATCTGCCAATGAAATGATGAACAACACCCTCTACCGCGAGCGCATCGCAGAGCAGCAGGCCAAGTTGGATGAGGAGCGACAATGGTGGGAAAAGAAGAGAGCCAGCATCAAGGAAGGATTCATGAAGGAATTGGACGCCGAGGACTCTACTTCCACCGCACCTTCACAAAATACCGAAGCTCCAGCTGACACGACTCCTACTACGACCAGCAACTCCACCCCTGCAACAAAGACCCCCGAGTCATCTGGTGCACCGTCCTCAGTAACTGGAAGCGATGACGATGCTGTTTTGGTCGAGGCTGATGATCAGCCTGGGAGTCCGGCGTCCCCAGGCAAGAAGAAGAAGAAGGGCAAGAAATAATGGTTTCACGTTCGGGTGTTTTCGTCGCGTCCGTTTCTTTCATGCATTAAAAGATACTCTTACATCTTCTATATCATACGCATCTGTATTTTGTGTGCTCAATATAACTTGATGTTAGAAGAGAGACAATAACGGTGCTTCTTGGCTGGTTACATTTGTGTGTACGATACTTCTCGCTTCTTGGTAAGAAAGTGGTTTGAGGGTTAATATACCCTGGGCGAAACAACTGGTCACCATAACATAAATGTTAATCTTCCACCCTGCCACGGGAATAACTCGCCAGGTTATCTTCCATAATATACTTTCACCTCCAGAAACACGGCGTTCAATCAACGTATGGGAGCGATTTTTGGCCAAACTTTAAATCAGGCTGATAATGTCAAATTTGGTCGATTATTAAATAGATCCTAGGCCGGCTGGCTCAATGGTAGAGCGTCAGTCTCCTAGTAGGCCATTGGTCAATAGATCAAAACTGAAGGTTCTGGGTTCGAGTCCCAGGTCGGTCGTTTTTTTTTTTTTTATTTTGGTTGCTCTCTCTGGATCGGGAGGTGGAGATGACCAATTCACGCTTTCTGGCTTCTATTACATTTTGCTAGGGTAAATTTGCCGGTGTGATACTGATCGTCGACTATGCCACGATTAGTATTGTTACTTCAACCTCATCATGCATATGTTGATGGACATTCAGATATGACTACCAGAATTCCCGGGCCTAATTAACATTTTCTACAGAGTTTGGATATAGACAAAAGGAAAGTACCTGGTGTTTGTGAGGATAGATATCTATAGCATGAGGCTAGACTAGATTTCACTTGGCGGTTCCCGTCAACCGTACCACACTCCAGGGGGGCTATGACTAGGTAGGCGATATGGGACACATAGAGGATCCAGGGTTTAAGTTCTATCAATTCCACTTCTCCTGTACTGTGTAGTCTCGTTTTTTTGTTCTGTGGGGTTTCAATGTGGATAGGCCAACTTTACCGCTAAGGGAATGATGTGTTCAACCCCAGCCCTCTCGGGACACTAGGGTCTATATGGCAAGGAGGAGGGATGGCGTAAGGGCTGGCAGATTAGTATCTATACTGGGTCTCAGCTAGCGCTGAAGTATCCAGTATATGCGCTCTAGTGGACAAGCAAGGCATCTTGTTTCGTGCTATGCCAGGTTCACAATGCAATTCGCCAACGGCCATATCACTCTGTAAAAAAACACTCATCTAGATCCTGACCTGACACACAGCTTCATGTCTACGAGATATCTGCCAGGTGTAACTTGGTACAGATCAAACCCCATATTAGTAAACCAATAACCTATCCTTACCAGCGATACTATTTCTGACGTACCAGCCAAGCTTCTCAGTAGACCCAAGCCGAATGCTTTCTTGATCTGCTGATTGGCTTAAGGTATCTTTAGGGCATTAGAGCCGAGCGTTATTGGGAGACATGGCCAGTATGTGGTGATGTTGTTCCCCATAGGGGTGATTGATGTAGGGCATCTTGTTATCGGTGATCTTTCGACTAGAGATGCTGTACAGCTTCGGAGGCTTTTTCCTTCTCCTACATATCGGGCTTCAGGCGTGTCAGTACTGCAGTCTTAGTTTCTAGGAGGGGTTATCAGACTAACTTATCAGTGACTCGGTATTGATATTCTATCTCTATATGGGATACACTGCAACTTTAGTCTCTTGGGCGGGGTTATTGGCTTGGCTCATATGGAGCTTTTCCTCTGTAGTAGTACTTTGGTTTCGGCCTTCCTATATGTCTAGAGTTAAATCTCGAAATAAGTAGCTACCTGTTCCTGTTGCGTTTGACCTTGACGCTCGACTGTGTTATTCTTGCCGTGTGATCCTTGTCGAGCCTTCTGCGTCTCGTAAGGAGGGGGTGCTACCTTTCTTGTCCATATGTGACTCTATTTGGTAATTGGTTGGTTACTCGGTATGTGACGGATGTGAGCCATCTGGTAGAAGTATGCTTGGTGATGTACTTTAAAAATATCCTATCCTGGATCATATCAGCAAATACATGTGGACCCACAAAAGTGATATATATATCTACTTGGCAGCAAGGCAACATTGTGTGAGTACTAGATATTCAGCGCTTGAAGAACGATAGTAATAAGAGAATTATAGGTTAATTCACATAACAGTTCAAAACACATCGATACAATCTAACATAGAGGGAAAGAAGGATACAAGCAAAAGACTGAAGTACCTGGCGCAACTATTGGTATAGGCCGTATAAATTACTAGGGTTATGTAGCTTAATGTCAAGACCAAATAATATATCAAGTTTCCATAGTCTAGTGGTTAGGACGGCGGTCTCATAGCAATATGACAATTCCTATCTAAAGGAGTTGCAATCCGCAAGCACGAGTTCGATTCTCGTTGGAAGCATTCTTTTTTATGCCAATCTTTCATTCTTTCCCCCTTTCTCCATACAGTCCGTATACTTCGTTCAAATAGCTTGCGATCAGGTTCAGGTCCACATACCAACCAGCTTCGATTTTTGTCTGCTACATAGTCTTCTTCATACACTCATCCAGCAGCGCAGCTCCTTGCATACATACACAACTGGTACATAGTATACTCTATATACTGCCTGGTCACTTACTGTGCGTGCTATCTCTACCTCAAAAGTCCGGACTGCCCTTTCTAACCCCCGAAGTAGACCCGAGTAGAGGGGGGAAACTAAGACCTACTGTCGCGGACCGCGATTACATGTCCACAGCCAGATGTGTTTGACGATCAAAATATTCAAGTACGCCGATTGAGATCGCGATAATCCCTGGGATGTCGCCAGGTGGATGAACTAAGCCGGCTGGGGATTTGGAGGCTTAATGTCGACAGGGTAGCATCCCTCTTGTAAAACTTGTGTAGCTTCAGTGCATATTAACAGCCTGGCTTCGCGGTCAGCTATCCTCGAACAACAGGAGAGGTGGGCTCACTCACAACAAGCCAAAATAATAAGAAAAAAGAATGCTTCCAACGAGAATCGAACTCGTGCTTGCGGATTGCAACTCCTTTAGATAGGAATTGTCATATTGCTATGAGACCGCCGTCCTAACCACTAGACTATGGAAACTTGGTTGAAGTTCAGCGGCAAAGTATGGTCTTATGTCCCATAGCGGTACCTGTTCCTCCTACAATTAGTTCACACATCATGCCGATCAAGAAACCAGGTCTTGGTCTTGAGACACGAATGCAGCCATGGTACCGTAACATATAAAGACATTGTTGGAAATCCTTTATCATGGGTAGATCATCAATATGAACAGCTCTCTCGAAAGTCACTTTGGCCATTGGTACTCGCAGTAGCCGGTAGGGCAAACGATGCACTTTGTGACACTGTCCTTGTTGACTAAGACAGCTCGTAATAGCAATGGCATGGTTTCAGTTTACATTGAAGAGGTAATGCATATCACTGTGGATGTACTGATCTGAAACATGTTGGTTTAAGGACCTGCAGAGCCATTGATCACCCCGCGTTAAGATGCAGATGAACCAAAGTTGCTGGCTTCTGAGAATCACACGACAACAATAGAGAGAGGGGTAAGAATACAGTCAGCTAGGTGTGTCGAGTCGTCTCAAACTGGCTTCTCAGCATTAGACAACTGGAATGACATCGCTGACAAAAATGCTTGAGTTTGAAGTCCCAGGAGCTCAAAATGACATTCTAATTATCATTCTTTATTATCTGTGCGGCTAGGCGCCATGATAGTGGTCGGCGCTCGAACGTATCCCACTCTACTGGGTAGATAGGTGCGGCATCTTCCGTACGTGGGGAGCCCTAGGATGAAATATTTTTGATCCGAAGCTTGTCTAGAATTGGCTTTTTCTGGGTATCGGAGGAAAGCCTAAGCCAGTCATGACTGAGTAATCTTTCGAATATTCACTCTAACCTAGTCGTAGTTGCTGATCATAATATCCCTGTGCTCAGTGAATCTAGCACCGAGGCTCGGTACGATGAAAGTCTTCTAATTGTGAGAATATCCATTCCTTGACGAGGTCGTTGAAAAGTAGTCGACCACCTGGTTTAGAAGTAGACATGTTCAAGTAAATGCATGTAAGCCAGTTGTTATTTAACTCAAATATATTGTTTAAGAGACGATCTTGCTTCTCATCACGCGTAGAACCTTCAATAGACTGGGTACTCAGGTAAAGTTATCTCAGGTGAGATCTGCGAGATTATCGTCCAATCTAAATTTTTGAGATGGGATGATCGACGCACCTTAGATACACTCGGAAGCCGAGCATAGAAATGTGGGACCAGTTATTAATCTGATCGACGATCTGATAAACCATCATGCGTTCGTACTTTATGAAAAGTATGTTTTACATAATAGTGCTACTGGTGATACTCATTCGATCGCTTATACCCCATAGTGAGCTGGGATATAGGGGTGGCTCGAGAGAAATGAAAGCAGAGGCTGTCATTGAATGGCGCAAATCTTGTGAACGGAGCGTGATCTGCGTGGGTTATTGATGTGCTATCCAATACGAAAAGGGAGCCCACTTTTACTTCACCCAATCCCTACCAAGAATTGGCTTCGAGATGGAACTGAAGCGCGAGGTGCAATTCGCCACGGCCCTGGGCCCCACGCATTATAATTTCCCTCTTCTGATGGTAATGAGGTTCCTCATATTCACAAAAGATAGGACCCGATGGCCACTAGTATTTGAATTTAGAGAGGAGAAAATGGGAGGGGGTACGTGGAAAGCAACATATAAAAGCAAGGTAGTTGAAGATTCTCGAATGGTGTATGGACCTCCAAGAAGGGATCTCTGAGTGCCAGTCTCTCGCCCAAAATGCATTCATATCATATCATTCCACTATTTGCGTTCACAGGCCTCGCTCACTCTTGGGGAGGTCTCTCCGCTTCCAGTTTGGATGTATATTGTTTTTATTCCATTTATGAATCACTATCAACCCTGACATGGTCTGGCTCCTACTCACAAAATGCTGCATGCAACAACCCTGCACAAGTCAAGTCCATCTATACATCCGCAAAGCTATACTGTTCGGAAGAGGAGCTGTCTGCTGGGGTAAATTTGTGGGAAGATTACTGTCAGGGACTCAGCAGTCCATTGAATCTTGATGCGATATCGAACAATACAACGAGTTCATACTTAGCAGAACTTCCGCATGTTGATCCCAGTCAATATAATAGAACGATACTGACATCGACTGTATTACTGTCACACTCATACTATCTCGTTGCCTTCCACAGTTATGTGAGACACATATTCTCGATTCGTTAATTGGTCAACACCACTGACTATGTATCGCAGCTAGCGAAAGACCAAGCATTACCGAAATCAACGCGGTTGAGCTGGAGTGTAATGGGCTACTGGGGTGTAATCTTGCTCATGGGTACACTACATCGTTTATGGACTTCATCGCGGCATATCTACAAAGGAAGTGGCAGTGGAGACGTGGAGCGCAAGCGAGAACAACAGTTACCAGACAAAGCTGGAATATGTGATGATCGTCTTAGCCTTTATTGGAAGGCTTACATCGCCGTCCCAGCAGCCCTCGGATCGTACCATCGACGCCGATTCCTGGGATGTAGCATCCCGAATCGTCCGGAGATTCTCGTGGTCGTGGGATTTTGGATCATGTGTATTATCCTCAACTTTGGGTTTCACGACATCTTCATTCCAAATGCCACGTACGGGCAATGGGCGCTTTTAAATGCTGTGGTACTACGTCGACTAACATGCTCATAGGATGCCAACCATTTCGCAGCAGGCATGGAAGTACGTTGCTCAACGGACTAGCACGTTCGCATATGCCTGTTTGCCATGGGTGTGGTTATTCGCTGGACGGAACAATATCTTCATTTGGGCCACTGGTTGGAGTTTCAACACTTTTAATGCCTTCCACCGACACTTAAGCCGTCTCACAGCCATATTTGCTTTTGTACATGCGATATCATATACCGTCTTGGACACGATCTACGGTAGGGACTTTGAAATATGTCTGAAGTAGCCATACAGCTAACAAAGCTCATATAGGGCCCTACTAACAGGACGGACTGCATGTTCTCTGGTTCAAGTTTGGTATTATTGTGGGTCTGAGCTCAGTCACCTCAAGTTCCTTCCGCTAATATATTAGGGTGCCGTTATGATGGGGCTACTTTGCGGCCTCTCCATCCCCTGCATTCGTACTAAATGTTATGAGTTATTCTTGATTGGACACATCTTATTTGCAGTGACCCTTTCTTGTTGCTGTTTTCCAGTGCGTCCTTATGCCCCCCCCACCAGTCCATGCCTCTAGCAAATGCGAAACTGACTCACAAAATATAACAGACATACTTCGGTTTTCGGAACTAAGTATAACGCCTATCTCTGGCCAGTGGTTGCCATATGGTGCTTTGATCGGTTCTTGCGCATCGTACGCCTCGCATATTGCAACATCCGCGTCTCTACCAAAGGGCATGTGCAAACAACCACAGCAATGGCAACGTACTGTAAAGACGCTGATGTCATCCGACTAGATATCCAAGCAGGTGGATCAATCCGGCCTTTACCAGGACATTACTTCCACCTATATCAATTGTTCAGCTGGCGTGGCTGGGAAAACCATCCTTTTACAGTCGGCGCCTGCACAGCACCAAACACAACCTCGCCATTAACGTCTTCATCTGAAGCACCAGAAGTCTCCCACTCTATGAGTGGAGCCCTCAACGAGAAGAACACATTCATTTCAACCACTACAGAGATGTTTACACAGGAGACCCCCGGATGTTACCACTGACCCCACCCTTGGAAACCTTGTTTTCTGGATTCGTCCTTATAACGGTTGGACAAAGCGACTGAAAAACCAGTGTTTAGGCTCATCGTCCTCTGACGATAGTGCTGATAACGGATATTATCAAACCTCTATTCCCATAGCTTTGGAAGGCCCTTACGGTCATACAATTCCGTTGTATCACTACGGCTCTGTGCTCATGGTTGTTGGGGGTACCGGCATCGCAACAGCAGTACCTTACATTCAAGATCACGTTTCTAGATCGCCGAAGACAGGCTACAGGAGGTCTGACGATAACAAAACCCAGACTTCGAACCTTACTCTGGTCTGGGCATGTCGTGGCCATGAATTTATGGAGCAGCTGCGTGGTAGGGAACTTGCCGGTGCACTAAAACTTGAAGGATTTACTGGGCGTTTCTATTGCACAAAAGGCTGTGATAGCCACTGCGCTGCTGCTGACAATGATGGGGGATTGCGTATTGAGCGTGGGCGCCCGAATATTGAGAACATTATTCATGGTGCCGCTACAGAAGCGCAGATTGTGAAGCACAGAATGGCAGTGCTCACATGCGGATCTCCCATTATGTCGGATGAGGTTAGACGCAGTGTGCATAGTATACTGAAAAAAGGGTATGAAGGGATTGAGTATTTTGAGGAAGCATACTCATGGTGAGGCATATGTGTGGTTAGTTGAATGTTTGTGGCTGTTGTATGTACTGAGTCAATCAACACAGAAATACGCCGGACGTGTCGATCCATTCACCTGAAGGTTGAAAGTAGTAGTTGCGTCGCTCATAAAGGCATCCCTGGTCCTCTCATTCTCTCGTTGCCAAGTTGCATCCGTGTTACGGTAGAACATTTTTCCAATGATTTTTAGTGGTTGCAGAGCCGGAGTAGTTGTGGTAGGAAACAACTCAATTAGATCCCAAGATCACCATAGCATTGAACCTTATCATATGATTGGATAGTAGTTTGGCCAATGGTTCTTCATGATGTGTGTGGACAGTGAGAGGACAGTAAGTTGACACTGTCACTTGGTTGGTATGCGCCTTTGTTTCGAGTCAGAAAACCGACGAAGAAGCTAAAAGTCGAAGAAAATCTATCCATGGAACCAAACCTTTGTACCCAACAGTTCAGTTACGCTGTTGTAGACTAAGACTTGTCTTGGGTTAGTTTCATACCGCAGATCCATGTTTATATTGACGCCCCAGACCACCTAGGGCAGTACCATTGGCCCATGTTGAAGCATGAAAGCCAAGTTCTTTTCCCATACACTGATTCCCAATCTCTGTTGGCCCTCGCCAGCACTTTTCATCCCCCAGAAGAGAATTGTTAGGTATACAGCGTTAACGCCAAGGATGAGCGTTTGAGGCGCTTTACCATAGCAAGGAAAGATTGGATAGGTTAGAATCGCGGTACGTGAGTATCTAGACAGAAGCTTTTGCAGAAATTATATACTACTTAGTGAGGATTCACTACTTCCATCTGGTGGGATTTCGGAACAGCTCCTTACGCCACGCCAACCAACACGAGGCTCCCATTTGTAACAGAGGTTCTCGTCGCTAGACAGGCAGCGGGTGCTGCCACTATTGACTACAACGCCGCACCCCCAGACCTGACAACCCTCCCTAGTGGCTCCCTCTTCGAAACATGGAGGCCAAAGATTCATGCCCTCCCCCCAACTGGTCAGATCGGTGGCCCATGTGCACATTACAACGATCCAGAGACCGGATGATTCCATGTCCAGCACCTGCATAGCGGAACTGGTATTGCCGGTGTGCAGACCGACGATCGCGTCTACTATTATGATATCAATGAAAACGGGAACTACACTATTGTTGCTGGTGGAGCCAACGATTAAATCCACTGGCAGTATTTGACGGCTCTGTTATTCCCAGTGGCATTGATGACAAGCCAACACTGCTGTATACCTCGGTCTCACATCTCCCGATTCACTGGACTCTCCCTTACACCCGCGGGAGCGAATCGCAGTCTCTGGCAGTGACTTATGATGGTGGCCATAACCTCACAAAACTGGACCGCCCCTTGTTATTCTGGAGCCTCCAGTAGGACTTGATGTCATTGCCTTCCGTGGCCCTTACGTTTTCCAGAATAAGGACCTAGATGACACTGTTGGCAGCGGCCTGGGGACTTGGTATGCTACCATCTCGGGCGGTGTCCACGATGTCGGGCCCGGGGTATTCCTCTATCGCAACCAGGGATCGGGGTATGAGGACTGGGAGTACCTTGGAGAGTGGTGGAGAGAGCCTGCTAACTCCACTTGGGGCAACGGTGACTGGGCCAAGGTATGGGGGTATAATTTCGAAGTTGGAAATGTGTTCAGTCTCGACAAAGAAGGCTGTAATGTTAATGGCGAGAGTTTCATCATCTTCGGCATTGAGGGTTCATATGTTCCAATCACCAAATCTGTTACCTCAATGCATGGCATGCTCTGGGCCTCCAGAGCTATCTCGATACCGGACGGCGGAAATGTGACTTTTGAGCCTACCATGGCGGGTGTTATTTCGAATGTAACCTATGGATATACTTCCATCCCCACTCCTTCTTGCTGCTTCCGGCTTGAGCCCCCTATAGATTGACATTTATTACCTCCTGATATGGAGGTACCTAATGAGATTGGATGGCCAACTGGAGCAGTACGCATATTTGTATCGTGCGTGTCGTTGTTGTACCGAGCCTTCTGTTATGGGAGCGAGTAGATGGTTTTGTAAAGTACATTGTCTTGGAGTTTCAATTGACATTGCCAATTCCACAGTGTCTCTCCTATTTACCTCGGCCAAAACATTCTTTCTGGGTTGCTCTGAGAGTCTCATATTACATATAGTAGCGTTAGGGCCTGAAGTAGTCAATAACCCCTGCCTCTCAACGTGCAGAAAATCACCCTGAATATACCCCATTGATTGTAGGCTTGCTGTGTACCTCGTAGACTAACTAGGTACATAATGTGTATCGGGCCTGGGTTTAGCCCTGAGGTCTAGACCTTCCCTTTGCTGGGCAATCTTCCGTCAGACACCAGTATTCTTCACCTTCCCCACGGCAGTCATCGCCATATGCACAGTACCAATGGCCACCGCCTGCATTATTAACGTTTGGCGCCTTCATGACGAGCCTAATCAACCTGATCAGTGAAAGAACAACTGTAATAAAAGTTCACCAAACACTCACGGTCCTGTGGGTTGGTTAGAGCACACCGAGCTATACAGGTGCTTATTGACGACTTTTACTGTGTACGCGGTCTGTCACGGTGTGTTAGGATCACCAACTCGCAGGATCGAAATGGAGCACTACTGACATATGCCATATCGTACCAGAGACAGACCGTTGCATTTATATCTGCACTACAGGTCTTGATCTCGCCCACGGTCCATGATTCTGTCACCGAGAAGCCGGGAGCGAACCACCCAATATTCGCTCCGGCTGAGACGGTGTACCCAAATGTATGACTCGCAGAGAATCCAATCCCACAACCCTTAGCACCTGGGCCATCCCGACACTCTCCTGTACTGGTCATTTGCCTGTGGAGATAATCCGTATGTGGGTCTCCATCCCCGACGAGCTCATAGCTGCAGTCTCCCATACAACACATAAACTGATGACCCAGGAGCTGCCTCTCTTCCAGTGTGTTGTTTGCACCTGTTGTGTTATCCATGTGGATTGCGTGTGCTAGAGACCGGCTAAGGCAGAGAAGGAAGGAGATTTCCAGGAGTATCCCATACATTCTGACTTGAAATACATATAAGTACGGAAGGCTTGGATAGCTTGCACAAGGCATGGTTCAACATACAAACAGCACTATATATATAACGTTCCAATCCCCACTCATGCTGTTACCCCTTAAACTTAATCCGAGTAGGATATCAGTGTACCTCCTCCTTAGCTATCTGAGGTACTCAACGAGAGTTGTACTAGTAAAGTGCACGAGCGGCAGAGACGCGAGAGAGAGCGGGTTGTCAAAAAAGATTGAAATTGCTGGCTTGCGGTCAGACCCATACTGAAACGCTTGGAAAGCAATCTCTCCATGGGGAGTAGTCAAGGCAACATCTTCTGTGTAGATCACTGTGAAGGCTTGCAACAGGATTGCCTTCCTGTTACCATATATAAGAAAAGAATTTATATCTTACTAAATGCCGACGAGTGCCAGCAGTCTCATGAAAGCCAGACGATTATTGCACTGGCCTATTGCGCGTAGTCAGGTACGACTTGACCAAGACCAACCAGACAAAGACTTAACGCCCGGCGAAAGTCTATGATACATTACGGTTACAATTGGCTAATCAGATTTCATGGTACTTTCGTATCTTTGTTTACTCCGACTTTAGCCTATGCAACTCAATGGAGACCGTACAGCATCGGTTCAACCAATGCTGGATTGTCGACTATCCCCCGGTTGGAGAGAAACAAAACAGAGGCCCTTTTATTGGGTAAGTAACCGCCTTGGCCTTAAGACAAAGACTCTTTCCCTCTCCCCTATTTTGTTTTGTTTCGGCGGATGACTAGAAGGATGGAGCGGCAGCAGAATCGAAACCAAACACCCCCCCCCCAACAACAACAAGGACCAAGGCATATACGGTGGGAAACAAGATGACCCAGCATAGATTGTGAAGAAAAGATATTTAAGCCATTTTCTGTTAGCGAGATCTGCATGACCTTAGTCTTTAAGTTTCACCTGATCTTATCATAATCTTCAGGAGATCAAGGAAATCAGAGATCTCTTTTCCCGGTTGATAATCCACACCATGTCTACAACAGAGAAAACGACGCCAACGACAGCAACAACAGAGCTGCCCGTACAAACTCTGGAAAGCTTACACGGACCCGAACTGGACTCGAAAGATATATGTTCATATTACATTCGCGATCAACCAAACGAACCAGAAGACTTAGACGCATTCCAGACCTGCTGCACACCAAATATCATCCATAGATACAACGAGCACCAATACTGGTGCGAAGTCCCTGAGCATTACTTCCCTCCGACGCCCTACCTTAATGTGTCGAATAGCACGATTGAAAAGTGGGTGGATGGCAATATGACCCAATGTATGAGAGGCGCTCATCCGAGTCATTATGTTGGGTCAAGCACGTGTCACTTTCCCAGATACAATGTTCGCAATGCAGCCGCTTCCTTGATTGTGGCGTCGGTGCCCTTGTATCTTGGACTACTGGGCGCTTTGTGGTCTTTTAGGCTTCTGTTGCGATAAGTGGTACCAGGCTCTGAGAGGATCAATGTGATATCTCCCTTCTGGCGGTTGGCTCTGGGTTATGTATGTAGATACGGTATAGTCGGATTATATACCTAACTGTACGCTTCAGTTGTGATTTATCAGCGAACAGAATGGATGAAGACTATGTTCCAAAGACCTGTAGTTTCGGATGATAATCATATTGGAGGGGGTAGATTTAATATTAGCCACTGGGTTTTAGAAATATATGACGACCCCGAGTGTCTAAGACAGCTCAAGAGAGGAAAAATTTATTATAGTACACATGAGCCATGATTATATACATAGCACCACCGCCTGAACGCCGATCCGTATGCTGCGTGGCAATCTTCTATCCCAAAGCAATACCGCTAAACACCATGATGTACTTTTCCTGATTACCTAAAAGGTGACTGGTGTAGACCTACAGTAAAAGGTCATTATCCTCCAACGACGATCCAAGATCCACCCCCAGGATATTCATCTCTTCTGCAACGGACGCAATATGATCTTCAACTCTGCTCGATTCAGTAGCAGCCCGGCCCATGATGATACGTAAAAGATCAGTCATTATATCAAGCTGATACTGCTCCCGCTCTTGCGGCTCGAGAGTCTCGAGAGTAAGCCCCCGCGCCTGGAGAGCAGACACCTTGCGCTCGCTCAAGATCTCTACCAACCTGTTGACATGGGAGATGTTCTCCTTGCTCTTAGGAGTCGTTGAAAGGCGACGGAGCCGGCGCTTGGGTGTGCCGGCCGGGACACCGGCCATCCGTGCAACTTGTAGGACTATGAGACGAGCGGTCACGTCGTCGGGAGAGAACCCGAATGTTGATCTCAGCGAATAAAGGGCAATTAGTGTGCCAGGGAGGTCTTTAGAGAGACAAAAACAACGAATTATTTGGTTATAGAGTTCTTTAGAAAACTCTTCTTGTGCGGCGGCTCGACCCCGTGCAGAAAGGCGAGAATACCACTGCATCATCTCGGCATAAAGGCCGCGAGCAGATGGAAAATCTGCAACAAAAGTCGTACGACCGCGATCATACTGAAGTTTGCCACAGTCCCATAGGCAAGCAAAGGTTTCTAGATCGGGCTGGATCGATGTAGACATGGTTCGGAACTTGTCCCACAAAGATCCGATATCCTGTTTCCGGAGCTCGGCATATAGGATGTGATTCATGAAGTAGGAGTTTGGCTTAATCTGAGCATCGCCGAGGCATTTGATTAAATATTTAATCATCCCATCGTCGCTTCTTCGGGTATAATGTAGGAGCAGAATGGAAAATGTTTCGATGTTCGCGGATGGAATCTCTCGTTGCATCCATTTGGGTATGCGAGGACTATCTTGATCGGGGCTTACAGTCACTGTCGGAGAGCTTCCAGTCGAATTGGTCCGCGCCCAAATGCTGTCAATCCGCTGTTGAACCATAGACCACCCCAATCGTTCAGCTTTCTCTCGCGCGTCGGGATTGCCATCACGTAGCCAAGCGGCAATCAGCCCATTGAGGTGTTTTGAATCCGGCTTCACGCCTCGTTCGTACATCAACTCAATCACCAGTGCAGCAGAGTCAACTTCACCCATTCCAATGAGCTTCTTCATCCAGCTGGCATAGAAGAATCGGTTCTGGAACTTTCGAGGTAGGACCGTTAGCGTCGAAAGCGATACCTTGTTCACTTCCAGTTCCGAAATACTTGACGCCTGGAGATGACCAACAAGGCCGACGGCTGCTTTATAGAGGGAGGTCGAGTCGTTTGCTGGGTCTTGCCCTGTCACCATCATATCTTTGAACACTGCGATAGCTAGATTCGGTCTACCAGCTTTTAAAAGACCAATGCTGATATTATCGTAGTCGTTCATAGTTAAGGTATTCTCAAGAAAGCTCTTCAGTTGTAAGTATAGAGCCCACGCCTTGACCTCAGCTTCTTTGCCAAGCTGTCGCCCCCAAGCAGTAATGACTGGAAGGAGGATGCGAGGTTCGCGTGATTTGTCATTTGCTAGAAAAGCAAGAGCAATGTCCTGTGCTCGTTGAGGGTCATTTTCAGCAGCGAAGAGTCGTACACCCAATTTCCAATATGCTTCAAGGTCTTGCTTGTTTTGCGAAAGCCCCGTTTGATGTGCCTCCCACTGGTCCAGCGCTTCCTTCGTTTTGCCAGTCTCTCGGAGCGACTCAATGTAAGAGAGGAGATGTGGAGTCGAGAGCGATTTTCCAACTGACATTGCGTCTTCAGCGAGTATTCGGATATGGCTTGCGCGGGAAGATCTTGTATGGTCACCAGCTTGAGCATTCCATAACAACGCCAGAGCTTCTTCAGGTATTGATTCTAGGAATCCTGGGACCATCTGTTTGCATCGGCGGTACCATCTCCATAGTTCCGGACCGAGTCGTTCGTTTGATCCATCGTTTGCGATCCGGATCAGGCATTGGTTGAATTTCTCGATATAAGAATGGTGTTCCGGAGTCGATACCGCAACCTCGTAGGAGCGCCGTACATGCTTTTTTGGCGAGTTATCCTTTCCTGTCGAATGCCAGTTTTCCTCTTCTTTGGCCAGGCCCTCGAATTCCTCTTTTAACATCTCATCCAGCTCAGTATCAAAAACCTGCTCAAGGCCAATATCGGGTTCATCCTTGCCATGCTCCGCCTCATATTTCCTCAGAGCTTCTAGTGCAATGGCTCTCTCCTTCTCGGGTAGCTCTTTCATGAACTGACTGTTGGGGCCGTAAGGACCTTCTTTCAGATCCTGCAGTTCCTTCTCAAGACTAGCTAGCTCACCCTCTACTTCCTCCCGATCAGCGTTGTCTTCGGCTTCTGGATTGACCTGCGTTCTCTTTTTGCTCCCGCGAGTATCTTGTTCGTAAAACCGAACCTTGTCATTGGGGCCGCCATACTGGAGGGAGCGTGGCGTTCCGACGGAGAATGTACGCTGCAAAGGAAGAGACGGAGCCGACGGTGCTCTGAGGGCCACATGCTGATACCACCGAGCTCCTCGAACAGCTTGGCGCAGCATGAGGTATAGGCGGTTAGATCATTTGACAAAAAAAATACTGGTGAATAAAAGTTGCTGTGACAGTAACGAAGTAGGAGTTTTGCGGAGGATTATCGCATGAAGCTCCGCGGCGGAAAACCAATACCACCCCCAGTTTGGTTTAGCGTCAACGCGAGCTCCGCCGCGGCTTCAGTAAATTATTCTACAATATTCATTCCTCCCCAGATGACAGAGGGCAGGCCGTCTCGAAGCTTACCTATTATGGACTTGGATACGGAAACACAGGGTGTAGCCAAGGATGGCTCAAACACTCAGGTATTGTTCTGCACTAATGGTTCAATCTGTCCTAAACTCACTAATGCTTTTGTAGGGTGTGTACATCTATCGGCCTGCAACTTCCGCGAAAGCTCACGGGGAGCGACCTTCGAAGCGACGAAAGGTGCAACCCGAGAATAAGGAACAGAAAATTGAGTCGCACCCTTTTGTTCCCTTGCTGGACGGCGAAGAAAACGAGTCATCGGTCGAATTGAGGTACAATGCTTATCGGCTATTATGGTCAACTCAGGAAAGCAAGATCCAGGTTCGCAAACAATAGAAGCTTGCCGGTTTGCTGGGTATGGTATGTCTGGCTAACGGCAGGCAGGAGATTCTAGATGACGTGGATTCCGAAGTTCTTGAGAACGTTTTATCCTTTGTCAGGTCCACTTCGCATCAGACGTAGGTAGTTCGTTATTTTTTGACACGAAGGCGCTTCGAAATGCCTAACCAACGATAGATATGACGGCTGCATCCCCACAGCATTAATAACGGTTGGATCCAATGTTTCATCGCTTGGCAGACTGTTATCCAAGCTTAATGATCAGTTGACTGCGTCAGAGGAAGGCGGAGTGGTCATACTGGAATCTGGCGATGCGCCCAACCTCAAGGCAACGCTGAAGAATATTATCCGAGCTGCCGTCACAAACACGGAAGGGAACGATGGGTATCAGAATTTCTTGACGGACCGAGAGGTAGGTTTGCCCTGTTCAAACCCTATATGGGCGAGGTGCTAAGAAGGCCGTAGGGGCCCAGACTTCTTGGGTATGATCTCGATTTACTTGGAGATTATGTCAAAAGGAAAGGGATCAGAAAGCTGGTCGTAGCATTCCGTGACAGCGAAGCTTTTGATCCGAACATCTTAACTGATCTCCTCTCCCTCTTAAGGTAAGGCTCACGATCCTTACTAATCCATTAAGTTAATTGTCCTAGTTCCTGGTTTGACCGGATACCATTTACCCTGTTATTTGGTATCTCAACATCTGTTGAACTCTTCGAAGGAAGGCTTCCTCGGTCAAGCGTAGCCCTTCTTAGAGGTAGATACTTCGAAATTCACGGAGCAAGTAACTGTGTTGATCGCATGTACGAGCGATTACAAGCAGACCAAAACGGACGATTCTGGCTAGGGCGCAATATTACGGGGGTTTTGTTTGAGAAATCGAATGACTATTTCCAAACACCGGAGGCATTCAGTCGGACAGTTAAGGTATTTGCCATATTACGCGTGCTAAACTGATTAATTCTAACGGGGATAGTATGCGTACATGACACACTTCTTTGCAAATCCATTGGCAATGCTCCTATCAGACGAGGCTTCCGTGAGAGGGCAACAGGGGAAGCTCTGCGAAGCAATTAGAAACCTCCCATCTTTCCGAAGGTAATATATTACCTTAACTTAGCCTTTTCTTGACTAACCACACTAGATTTTGCGAGCATCTCCTTGATGATGCCTCTACTGAACAAGTGCGCAACCTGTTGGAGAACGACGAGTTTCTGTTTCAGCAAAGCCTAATGTACATGGAAATCGGACAGCGACGGATGAGAGATATATTCCAGGTTGTCAAGACGATTTATCTATGCCTTAAGAGCATGGATATAAGAAGAACTTTCACGATGGCGGATTTGTCAATTCGTGCACTATCTGGAGAATTGCAAGATTCAACTTATATGGATGATCTTCTTAGGGGCCTGAAAACGTTGGACTCTTCTAAACTGGAGGAATTCCTTGCGTTCATGCCTCAAGAACTGATTGACTGTCCGGAAGTC